TTTCGAAGAACACTTCGGAACCATTCAGGACTTCTGGCAGACATAGGGCGCACTTACGCTTTTCCGAAGAGCACTTCGGAATCGTACAGGCCATCAACAGCTGACGCAAGAGTCGCTATGCCTTAAGCACATTGTCAACAAAGGACAACAACAGATCGACTAATAGACTATAAATACAGATTATTACATCCTTCAAGAGTTAGACATCTTACCATTAATCACTCTTACGTGTGACTAGCTCTTCTACAGCTCCCCTTAAATAATAAAGGTACAATTGATTACTTAACATATTCCATTAAACATCTAACACCATATCAAGTATAGTTATTCATACATCAAGCTTTTGAATATTCGACTACCATAGTCTCATACTACCTTACGAGCATGATTGATTGACTACACCAGCTAATATTTACATCATCGACATAACCTCAATTATAAGACACAGCAATATCCATAGAATCTTCAATAATCAAGAATACAAGAAAACACCCTCATTGCTTCAATAGAATTATCTCTCTCTACACGACAGTGCAATATTATTTTTAATTATTTACAATAATAAACTTTGTTTTAATAAATACATTATATTTTTCAGCCTTGTCAATTATTATTTCCTTTAAAATTATCCTGACGAGAGACTAATCCACTGAACTATTGAAATGGTAGTTCGAGCCATAAACTAACCCTTTAAAATCGGACACTATCAGTTAATTTTCATTTTACGTTTTTGCATTTACAGATTACTTTTCTAATTACAGGATCAAGATAATACAAAGGACAAAGTGACTAAAGAAAATGGATCTAACCGTAAATCATCAGGGTAGGTGATCAAATTTTGAAATTTTAATACCTTGTGTACTTTAAGAATGTATATAATTAACACTATTTAACTTATTATAGTTAACAACTTTATAGAAAGTTATTTATTTTAAAATTATATAACATTTAATTTGTAAATTTTCAAATCTGTAAATTTACCTGTAATACTATTAACAATTAATAATTCGGTGTATACTATATATAAATATTTGATCATTTTAAGAGTATATAAATTTATTTCTAACTTTAATTTTAATTAAATTTAATTTAAAATATATATTTATTTTAGTATTTCATTGCCATTATATTTTATTCAACATTATTAATAAATTGTGTATATATTATTATATATAGTCTATTAAAAAAAAGCTTCGTTATGTAATATTTTATTGAAAATAAAATTATTAGAAAATTGATGAAATCTTAAATAAAACGTCTATATGAAACCCAATAATGTATAAAATGACAAGGCGATAATTGATCTCACTAGTAAAATTTCATTTGTTCAATGACTGACGAGTGGTCACTAGCAGAGAAATCATCGTTCGTCTGTGATGAGCACCAGTGAGCCAACTTTAATATCATTCCGTGGGTAGTGTCATTTTAAAGTAGATAGTTGTCGTTGTAACAGTCGACCACTGTGAGCAGAGTGTTGTACACGTTGTTTATAAGCTTCCAGCGGGTTAATCCTGAAATTGACAAATCCTTTAGAGTTAGTTCTGGGATGGTAGATGGTGAGTGGGCTCCCTATTACGAATGTTTGGGAAGGGCAGAATGGTCTTTGGAGTCATCGCGCATTGATTATAATGGCCTTCTGTTGATCGCGTCAATTTGGGCAAGCAGTTGTGGTGATTTCTTCAACTGTCTTTTCTCCAATGATGCGCGTTAAGTGGAACTTGGCCGAGTTTCAATACTGCTTCCCATTTTCTTCCCATGTGAGGCGTAGCAGATGGATTGCATTCCCATTGAGAGTAGTTGTTCAAGAGGGTCTTAGCTGTCTGTTGTTGTTCTTGGGAACCTTGTGTACAGTTTGTGGGATGCTTCTGAAAAATGTCGGAATGCCGCGATAAATCCGTCTCGGATTTTTTACTTCCCTCTGCCTAGAGTTTTATGGTTAAAGCAACATGGCATGGTTAATACCCGTATTTGATAATTGTTTGATGGTTTACTCGAGACAGCGGTAATTGGCCCGTTAAATGTCAAGCACGGATTTCTTTTATGCCATGCGCATGTAATTGATCGTAGAGAGTGAGACTATATTGAAGTTCGTCTGCCAAGATTCAATACTGGTGTCATTTCTATGCCTTTAGTCGTATGCCAAAATAAATTAATAATTCTTCTTAGACTTGAATAATTCCTTGGTAGAGGGTTCTCGAATTGTACATGTTCATTTCGTCTCTTATAGGCCCTTTAAGTTATTCTTTCAATTCCTTTATCTGCTGTTGTCTTGTCGAATACGTCTACGGAGGTTAATTTGTGTTCTTTCCATGGAAGATTTGCTGAGAAGGCCTGAATGTCAGTTGTTGGTAATGTGGCGAGGATCCATTCAAAGTGTTATTGAAAGGGTGAGTGCATCTTCTTGAGGACTCCATTTTAATCAATTTTATGTTGTACAATTAGCAATATAAGTGATACTTCCTGCTTTCTGACGGCTTGGATGACGGTGAGGACAGCGCGATGAATCAAAATGCCATTTTTTCTCACTAGGAAACCGCCCGCCATGCAGCGGTTCTGCAGTTGAATCGGGTTTTTGATCATAGTGCGGCGTGTTCTCACCTCCAGGATTCATGACATGTCTGCCATGCGTGATGAATGGCACAGCCAGGGGGAACCATTCTCCCTAGTCTTCTACCAGTTGCAGTAGTGTCCAGATTGCTATTAATGGAGCAGCTCTTGTGCTATAGGCTACAGTGGTAAATAAATGGCACTTTCTCATGGTTGTCCATTCAATGGATTCTTTATAGGTCCTAGTTGTCCTCATGAACTTGTATCAGCAAATGGCGATGTCGAATGGGTCCAGATTAACGCGTCTGACATTTCTGGGATTCTTGTCTTCTTGATGTCATTAAAACGATTGTCTTATAGTACGGTTCGTGATGTAATAGTGTATGATGCCATCCGGAGCATCTATTGCAATTTCTGGGGGTGGTGCACTTATAAGTGGAATGGGGCGCTAAACAGTTGGCACATAGTCACTGCTCTTCTTTCAACCGTTTTCTCTCCGTGACTGACAATTTCTTAAATCTGGGGCATGCAGTCACAAAATGCTGCTGCTGGTCATACGTGCATGTGGTAGTCCTTTGGCGTTCTCGTTGTCCTTGGAAAATCGACCGTCAAAGGTGATTGGTACGTTCTCACTGATCCTTTTGTGGATGGTTGTGTATGGGTACGGCTTCCTGTTGTAGTAACTCGTCTCTTATTCGCTAACGCTTTCACTCTTGTCATTAGAAACGTATACAGTTGATCGGACTCTGGGTAATTGTTGGATTTTCTCAAGGATTCCTCCCACTGTTCTCTTGTACGCTAAATGAGTCGCTGCGTTACCTGATGGACAATTATGCAATCTCACGTATCTTCTAGTTCCAATTGCCGCAGCCTTTTCAGTAACCTTTCAGTAGCCTTTGCATAACGAGCGAGGTCTTCTGAATCAGCCTCATCTTCGAATCGTGATGTGTTGGTAAAGATTTGTTCCAGGTAGGATTCGAGGTACAATCTTGGATCTTCATATTTTTTTGTTAGTACCTCCCACGCTGCTGCAAGGGAGTCATATGTTATCGGAATTTTTCGATGGTTTTCAACGCCTTTCCTTGTAGTTTTTGATATATTGTAGCTTCTGTACCTCGCTGAGCCTGTCGTTGTCCAAAATGACTGATTGGGTTAGGTCTCGGAAGGTTGACCATGCCAAGTAATCACCAGAGAAATTGGGAAGTGGAAGGCAGGCTATTTCTTTGGTTCTTTCATCATTGGGAAGACATCATTGGATGGGTCTTCATTTAGCTCCTTTAGCTCCCGATGCAGCTTGTCGAGTGCGGCGGGTACGCGATTGTAGATCCAAAATTCCTCTCCTTGCATATTCTTTTCAAAGTATTCGAATTGTATTAAGGCTGCTTTATTGTTGGGTGCATCAATCCTGAACAAATATCATTTATTAAATATGAAAAATTAATAATAAATTAATAAAATATTTACTAACATTATTTTCTTTACATAGATCTAACTTTCATACATTTAAAAACTACTGAGACTTTATATGTTACAAAATAATGAATGATCCATTAATATCATTTGAATTTTATGAATAAAACTTTTTTTTATTTTTATAATAAATATAATAATATATTTTCACTATACCATAATATTTATAATTTACAAAATATTATTAAATAAAATTTAAAAGCTTTAAAATCATGTAATATAAAATCGAAAAATAAATTATTTTGTTTACAAATATATGCTTAAAGAATTATATTTAATAAATTTTAATTTAAATTGTTATACACGCGATAATAATCTATCTTATATCGATATCAATAATAAATATCTTATCTAAAATCTATAACACGTACATATATTAAAAAACAAACATTTTTCAGGAAAAGTAAACACCGTTCTCGATCACGATCTCGTTCAAAAGATCATCGAGATAAAGATCGGAAAGATCGAGACAAAGATAGAGAGAGAGAGAGAGATCGCGATAGAGAAAGAGATCGTGATCGTAAACGAAAGTCACGATCACGTGAAAGGCGCGACCGTGAAAGAGACAGAGAAAGTGACAGAGATCGCGAAAGGCGTGATCGTGACAGAGATCGCGATAAAAGAAGAAAGAGATCACTCACCCCTATCTCACTTCCGCGAGTTCGACTACCATTTGGTAAAGGCGTTAGCCCTATTAGCATGTAAGTACAATGAATTTTAAAACTACATAGTTTAAATTTTTAATGATTTAATTAAACAGTCAACAAAAGCCATATAAAATATTACTTGTAAATCAAGACTTTAATTTTTCAACTTTATTGTATTTTTTAAGGTCTCTGAATCTCTAAATGTTTTTTGTAGAATTATTAAATATAAAAAAATTGATGTTCATAAATACTTTCTCTATTTATTACATATAGTTTCAATTAATTATAATAATTGATTGAAGACCTAAAACTGGAAACCTAAAAAAAAATGATTGAATATTACATCTAAATAATTTTGAATCCTGAAATAATTCAAACAAAAATTATTTCACAAACAACCATGAAAATAAATACTGTAAGGAAAAAGGTGGTTAAGGAAAGTGATGTTTGTAAAAGAAGAATGCTATAATGATAAGGTGTACTTAATAGAATCTATAGAAGCAAAAACATAAAAAATTGAAAATAATATTTAAATATGATATTCTATTGAACAATTTTTTCGTTGGTTTCAAGCTAGCGTATCGAAAATAAATCTTCTTAATTAATTTTTTATATACAGTTGTTATATATTTCATAAAAATATGACAATCCAGTTTAAAATTTTCTAATAAAATTAATTCTATTTTACATAATTCTTATGCTGAATTTATACTTAAAAATGTTTTTTCACTCAATCAAAGTTGATTTACAATTTTTCTTCCTGTTTAGTATTTTTGTTATTTTTTTTACTTTTAATGGATATAATAATTAATAAAAAATAAAGATGAACTGCTTTTCTAGGGACTAATTTGAAGGAAATAAATGGCTGTGTTAAGCAATTCATTTTTGTAATTATATGAAAGTGGTTGAATAAATTGAAATGCCTACATTTTTTTCTAAAACCTTATTTTCTACCATTTATTAAACTATAATACTAACACATTTGATAACATTAATAATTAAATTACATTTTTTTAGTTAGTAGAAAACAATTGACATTGCTTTTTAAAGAGATAATTCTTTCATCGCCACATCTTATTTTTACTTATTTAATTATAGACAGTTACAGTATGTATAACACAGTTAACAAAAAAAATTTACATATAAGAATATTCCAAGATTGATGGATATTTTACAATACATGTTATTACAATAGATTGATTTCTGTTTAATAATGGTTATGAATTTTACAAAAGTTACATTTTTGTGTCAGGGCAACTGCATTCTAATGATAATTTAGTTATATGTGTTGAAAAAACACGGCGACAATATTTTCTTTGATAAAAATAGTTTTTTACTGTATAAAAGAAATTAGTGATTTTTATAAAAAATGTATCATATAGGTAGATCACATAGAATTATATAGACCACGATAACGTCATTAAGATTAAAAAATCAATGTTTTTTTAATGTTTTTTTATATTCATTGCATTATTTAATTATATAATATAATTATATATTAAATATTTCACTAAATAAAAAGATATTTTTAACAATACAAGTTTAATAAATAAATCAATTAAATTATATAAACAAGCTAATACAAAAAAAAATTATTTACAAAGAAATACATCAAGTAATTAATAAAGCAGAGCTCATTTTAGCAAATAAATTGGTTGATATAATTAATCGTGTGTTGTAATATTAAATAAATAAAAAATTGCTTTCTCAAAAGAAGATAACTAAAAAAAGCATCAATATGTTCACTCTTCAATCAAAACATATTTACATAAAAGAAATATAGATATAAAAAGATAAAAATATACTACGCAAAAAAAATTTGTAGACAGTTCAAAATCATTACCTTGATGAAAGTTTTTTTTTAATTAATTTTCATTTTATTTTAAAAGGATTTTAGTGACTACCATTATGTTAAACACTAGATGCTGTAAACCACAGGTTAAAAATTGCATTTTTCTTTTATACATGTATATAATTAAGTAATTCCATAATAGCGAGGATAATAATTCTCTTCTTTCAATTGGAATAAATACTTATAGTAAGAATGATTAATAGTTTCTCAAATACGGTATCATATCATATTCAAATACAATACGCGTACAAGCACAACATAATAATATATCGATTTCAATTTTGAAGAGATAATATATTTTTATGTTTTTTATACAAAATAAAAATATATTTTTCTACATAGTCAAGTTGATCTTTATATATTATAATAATATAAAACATTGTTAATCAGAAAACTGATAACATAACATAAATAATAATCGCTTAAAATATAAAAAATTCTTGTTACGTAGAATCGTAAGTATTAATTGTAATGAAAAAAAAATGTAGTAATCACATTCAAATGTCAGTTATTTTTTCTATTCATAATTGTATTAATATTTAATATGAATTATTTTGACAATTTATCAGTTATTATCAAAAAGATGAATTGATCCAATTATAATTTATTTATAATATTTATCAGACAAATTGATTATTTAAAAACTTGAATTTATTAATAGCCGATGATTTTCTTTTATGCATTTTTAATATTGTGATTCCCACTAATATATCCAAATAATCCCATTCTCAATTCAATTCTAGCATACAAAATTAAAACAGATATGTATAAGTATTCATGACAATTAATTTAATCTAAATATAAACATAACATAGAAAATTATGCAAAATACACTTCTGGACATAAATCTAATTACAATAGCTAGCACTATCTACACGATATAAAGCAGCAAAACTTCTAAAGAAAATAATGAAAGGTTTAAAGAATTCATATCTAAAAAATGTTTCACCCTTACTATCTACAATTAATAAATTATTTTTTATAATTCTAGCATATTAATACAAAATTTTACGTATATTAAAATTTTCTAAAATCTTCTAAGTATCAAAATGTGCAACTTATATACAATATTAAAGAAATTTAAGTAATTATATCTTGTTTATTAAATAAATATTAAGAAAAATATTTTTCTCTACAGTCGAAATGATGAATTAACGCCTGAAGAAAGAGATGCTCGCACTGTTTTTTGTATGCAACTTAGTCAACGCATTCGAGCTCGAGATTTAGAAGAGTTTTTTTCAAGTGTAGGAAAAGTACAAGATGTTCGATTAATAACATGTAATAAAACAAGACGATTTAAAGGTATTGCTTATGTAGAATTTAAGGACCCTGAAAGTGTTACACTTGTAAGTATATTTAAATAACTAAAGGTTACAATAATTACAATAAATAATATTTATTTTTATTTTTTGAAAGAAAAAATATCTGTGTGTGTGTGCATTGTATGTACGAACACGCATGAGTAGATAATATTTTAAAAGAAAAATAATTAAAAAAATTTATAACAAAAATTAATGTTTCTTTTACAAGAATTTACAAAAATTAAAGAATTGCTTATCAATAAAATTAATTTTATTCAATATATTAAATTCAAATATATTAAAATACAAAAAATTTTTAAAATATAGTTTTTTATTCTCTTTACAATACACAGATTGGTTTATAAAGCTAATAAATTGATATTTATAATATTGTTACTTAAACGCGCAAAAAAATTTGTGTTAATATTTTTATCATTGTTATTTGATTGTAATGAATATAATAATTTTATATTGTATATATCATAACCATATATACGATACTGTAAATGTACTTTGTTTGTTTGTGTGTGTGAAAAAATCTTTTCATTTTAATTTAATTTTATTCTAGATTGTTAATATATACGATAAATATTATTAAATAATATGGGTGTAGCATGAACATAATCTATGGCTCGAACCATTAAAATTCATTTAAATTTATATGTAACTTTATTTTCTACGTGCTTTCTTCCTTCAGTTAAACAATTTTTTTTCAAATTTTTCCAAACTCATTTCATTTCGAACGAAAAGATAAAAAAATATATATAATTACCGTAAAGTGTAGCAAAAATAAGTTTGCAGTTGATACCGCTATGGATAATAATAAAACATGTAATATAAAGCAGAAATATTATATCGTAAAACCCAATAACTATATAAGTTACATACTCATAAAATAATTGTGAATAGAGCTTTTGTGAATACTTTTATGATATATGAATTAATGTTTAATATAAAAATAAAACTAAATATAAAGGATTTTGAGTCAATTATTATTGAAAATAATTAAAGATATGCTTTGCATGAGAATTCAGATTATTGAAATAGAAGATTTGAGTAGAGATATGTTAATTCATTATACAATGTTATTATGAGGATTTTTAAAAAGCATGCATTGATAATTATTATCGATTCAAAAAAAAATTGACTAACGTAGAATTCTCATTATTTTTTATTTAGAGTGATAATAATTATTAAGAGCTGATATGAATCAGCTTGTGGATGAATAGAATTTGCGAATATTAAACGATACTTCAAAATATAACTTATATGGTTTATATTGAATTTAGTAGTATTTTATTCATATATATTCAATAAATTGTAGCTGAAAAACTACCATAAATGGAATCATTATCATAAAATAATAGACTTCAAACTGTTCAAAAGGATATATGGATTTGATTTTATAAGAATTTATTATAATAAAAATATTAATATCTGAAGGTATATACTTTTAACATTGTTCACAATATATTTATTATTTTTGAGCTAATTGAGTTAAGATTTTTGTGGTGTATCTTACTTTAAAATTATTTTATTTTTTAATAATAAAAAATTATATCAAAGATTCATGAAATTAAAAATTCGTTTACGAAGAAAAATAAGTTTATTCTATCTATAAACAACAGTCTAATGAATATTTCTAATGTTTCAAAAACAAAAATATAGAAGTACAGGATTAATATACCGTTACACTTCATAGATTTCTATACATGTAAAAATATAGAAAACATAACTATTAAATAATTGACACAATATTACAAAATATTTATCCTACATGGTATAACTATCACAGATACTTGTCAGTCAATATGAAAAGAAAAGTTAACAAATATTGTTATTGCGAAAAATGTGTATAATTTTTATAATAAAATAATTAAATAATTTTTTATTAATTGCTATATTATTGTGAAAATAAAAAAAGAACACAAAAACTGAAGTTTTACCAGTACAATTAATCAGAAACAGTGCAAACCGTAAAAGATCAGTGTTAAAAAATAGATATTGATATATCCAAAATATGAAAACAATAGAAATATAGTTATTATGAGAATATCTAAACATTTATGTGTCCATAAGCATAGTAAAAGAAGAGAATCTGTATTAACCATTTATTTATACTTAGATATATTGTAGTATAAAAATATTACATTTTTAAAAAAGAATAAATATGCATCTAATTGTCACTGGTGAAAAATTAATAATCGGAAAGAATAAATTAATATTGTTGTTCCTACAAAAAATGAAGACGTTAAGTTGATTTTGGCAGCCTATAAATCTGAAATAAATAATAATTATAAATGTCTTTTTATCATTAAATATTGCTTAAAATTTCCATTTTTGCTGAAACCTAGGCTTAAATCGATGTCCACAATTTCTGAAGTATTATTATGTAAATTAATTTTAAGCTTAACTCTTTATGATGAAATATTAACTTCTTAGATTTCTCATAAAAATTTGAAATTTTCGAAATTCAATTGAATTGATAAATATAAATAAACATCATATAGTTGTAACATTTTTTTCTCAATTTTTAAAAGAAATTAATTTTATTTAATTATAATTTTTTATTTATTTGTATGAAATAGCCTAATTATAAATAAGTATTTTTTTAGAAATTCCTATTTATATTTATAAATATTTTTAACTGAATTCATTCGAATCAATTAGAAAATAAATTATATTTTATAAGTGGTAAAATATGGTATTAGAAATAATTATTATAAATATATGTAAACAATACAATAACTCTTAAAAATTCGCAAAATAAACGTATTTTAATTTTTTAATCTGTAAAGTGTTAAGTATTAGTATAAACAATACAATACAATACAATACAAAATATAACAGAAAGAAGCTTATCAGATACCAATGATGGCTATACTGTAATAATGATTTAAGAAATTCTGCAATACAAAATTCTATGATGAGCAAATGGGTGAGTAAATAGTGAATATTTGTACGCACGTGTATATGCGCATATATATGGGTTCTGAAATTATATTTTTAGATTTTCATAGTAAATGTTTTCAAACTGCTATTTTATACTTTATAACTAGAAAGTAATATTCCGTTATAAAATGTGATTAGATACAAATGTGTCAAATATTCAAATACAGTCAATGCCACGTCTTGAAAAATATGTATTAGAAGCAATAGGAAATTAAAATACTCGAGAAATCAAACCAGGTGCCGAACATGAATTTATAAAAAATAAAATTATTGAATACACCATAAAAATAAATTACAAACATATATAAATCTAAAGTTGTAAGGCACAACTCAATATTTTTCAAACGCGTACAAATAAAATTACAAAGAATAATTTCTAAGAATCATCTTATGATAAAATAATTCCACTTGTACAATTAATAAAAATCTTTAAAAATTGTAAACATCTAGTAAACATTACCATTTTATATATGAGTAATAATAAAATTTGCTTCCAATCTTTAATTGCACTTATCAAAAATCAATAAGTGATCATTTATAAAAAACAGTAAATGTCGCAGAAATTATTAAATAAATTAAAAGTATTAAACTAAATTTTACATTGATAAAATTTATGCAATATTAATTTAATCATTGTCAGCCTAAAAAATAAAAAGTGAAAACTTAGAACTTTAATTTTTAATCTATATATTTTCACTTCAGATAAATATATACGATTGACCGATATTCGAAAAATTAAAGATCAGTATTTAGGGATAAATTCACTAGTTAAAATCTCTTAAAACTTGATTGCATTCTACTCATTTTAAAATCCGTAATTGTGTTCGCTTTGTGAAATTAAGGTTCTTGTATCAATTTATATATCAAACATCTTGTAAGTACAATTATTATTTCAACTATAAATCTACATAAAAATCATTCTGGAAAACATCTCGAAATGAAGACAAATTATTTGTTTAGGAGTTTAAATACAATATGAATTTCAAGTCAGGTATTTCCTACTTAATTGACTAGAAATTGTATTGTCAAATAAAAATAATAAAAAATAAGGTTCGATAATGTATTATAGAATTAGTGTGCACAGTATAATAATGAATTATATAAAAATTTATAATTTGAATAAGTTCCCTGATATTGCAAATAAAACAATGCAATCAATAGTAATTACCACATCATTTTTATAGAAATATTAGAGGTAATATTGTCAGAAATAAAATTGGATTTATTAGTATACATAGATACATTTTGTAGATAATTGTGACTCACAGAAAATTAAACTACAATAATTAATATATACTGCGTTGCATTAAAAATCAATATACAATCAAATAACATAATCAATCAATGAGAATTAACTATAAAAATGAAATAATAATAGTAACTTTTTATAGTTTTGTCATAAAGTATATATTTATCAGATTACACAGAGTGTCAAAACAAAAATATCGAAACATATTTTAAGTAAAATGAAAACTTACACTTTCTAACTACTTTATCGAATATATAAACTAAATGGTTTATTATATTATTGGTATTAGTATTTCATTTAAGTTTTATATCTGTATCTTATATAGATTGTTGCTTATATTCTAAGAATAGTTAGTAACGTGATCATAATGTATAACGAGAAAACTATGAGATCGTAGAATTCTTCGTCAGCAATATTCGACTAAAGTTAAATGCATATGTTATTTTTGAAATGTCAGTCGTTATAAATATAAAGTTCATATTTCATGGCATCGATGTAGCACTTTGAAAATTTGTAAAAATACAACTCTTTCAATTTATGAATTGAATAGGTCTAATACATTTACAGAAGACCAAATATCACTATCTGTAGGTACGAAATATGTAAAAGTATAGTGAACCTAAATGAGATGTAAATATAAATCCTATAGGTATTAAAAAGCTATAATTAAGAGAGAAATAGTACATTTTATTCTAAAAGTATGAAATATGTGTAATACGAATTTTCCGTCCCCACCATTGATGATAATTTACCAAACGACATTCTAATAAATCCAAAAGAATAGTCGGAAAACTATGTAGTCAGTAATATAAATTTGACTACTGTTATTCTATTTTCTCATGTACCCACCCTTTAATATAATCTTACAGTACTCAGCATAAGTAAAAATCATTGGGTCAACTAAGAAAAAGTAAGTACAAGAAAACCTAGCCTGTATGGTAACATAAACAGTATACCTTCTGAGAAGTAGAAATTACTATGAAGGTAGTTTATCCCCCTTACAATATTAAAATTAAATACTCGTTAAATAACTATAAATTTTCTACATTTTCATGTCTTAATAAAAAATAAATATAAAATAAAAAATCTATTTTAATAAGCCTACTATAAAAATTGAATATTACTTAACATTTAAAAATCCAAATATAATATCAAATTTAATCAAAATAGTAATATTCAGGTTAGAAGATAATTATTGTCTCTAATAACCTTTATAAATACTTCTAACATTTTATTTTATATTTAAATATAGAGAAAATATAAATTAAATCATATTTCGAAAATAATCAAATTCTTTAAAATTAGAATTAAAATAAGTAAGTTATCTAACTTCTATATAGTAATAATTTATATAAAAATGTAATTGTACAGTTAGTAAAACAAATTAATGTACAATTAAACTTTAAAAGCTTTTTGATTGATAACATGAATCATAAAGTCGACATTAAGATACCTTGGTATGAGTATTTACTATATATACATATTATACAGGCTCTTGGTTTATCAGGACAAAAATTGCTTGGAGTTCCTATAGTAGTACAACATACTCAAGCAGAAAAAAATCGTATGGGGAATACAATGCCAAATTTAATGCCTAAAGGTCAAACTGGACCAATGAGATTATATGTCGGTTCTCTTCATTTTAATATTACAGAAGATATGCTTAAAGGTATATTTGAACCATTTGGAAAAATAGACAATATTCAATTAATAATGGATCCAGAAACTGGTAGAAGTAAAGGTTATGGATTTTTAACGGTAAGTACAATATTTAATAAATTTCATAATTATTTTTTTATAAAATTAATTTTTCATAAATTTCTTATGTATAATATAGGAACTACTATAATAATATCAGGTGTATACAATACTACATGTAGATAAATAGATTAATTATACAGACGTATATGCGTGTTAAATACTATTAAATTGAATAAATTCCAATTTTTAGTATTTATTAAAGAAAATACGTATCTATAGCACTTATTAGAAGTAGAAATGTTTGTTGTCACAAATTATATAAGAAAACTATATAATTTAATTTTGATTAGATTGAAAGCTTTACAAATATTATCTGTGCATTACCGAATATAACCACAAATATATATTTGAGGAACTTGTTTTAAGTTGTGTAAGGAATTAAACTATTACCTCTATTTTAAAAGCTATTTTGTTTACAAAACATAATTTACTAAATATTATATTTAATTAAAAAGTATAGGAAAAAATATAAACTACTCAAAATTTTAGGCTTTAAAAATATTTTACTTCGAAATAATTTTTTCAGTATAATTTATTCATACTGAATTTTTAACTGTAACGAAAAAAGGTTTTGTAATAATAATTAATATTTCTGCTATTTTTACTGTTCATACTATCTCTAATAATGGTTTTATCAATTTTTTTTTTTTTTTTGAAATAATAGATATGCCTAATATAGAAGAAGATAATAATAATATCCATAAAATCCAATATATATAAGATCTATTTAAAATAATAAATAAAAAAATTAAGTTATTTATGAATTTTATATGCTTAATTTTTACTTCGCATTTTTTAATAAATTAATTACTTTAAAATATTAGAAATTAACTGAATCACCTGAACAAATATATAATTTTGGCACATTGCGTATAAAAACTATCTTTTTGAGTAGATAGTAGTTGTTTTGCAATTTACAGTTGAACTTATTCAGTTACAGTTTTTGTTATAATAAAACGTAGTTCATACATTTCTTTTCAGATTTTTCGTACTTATATAAATGTTACAAATCAATTATATTGTTAACAAAAACTTATAATGTTGATGAAATTATTCTCAGATGCTGTTAATTAAAAGTGCGAAGCAGCAATTTAAAAACAAATGTATAAGATAGCATATATAAGTTAAACAGAACATTGTTCATTTCTTTCAAAATATTAAATTTTTTATATTAGTTCCTGAAGAAAAACTGCTTTAAAGTTTCATTCAATCAAATCATAAAAAAATTATACGAAATTTTATTGATTTATTTGAAAAAAAAAATTTAACGCATGAAAATAAAGATATGTACTTCTGTACTGTAAGTGATGTACATTATTGTTATTAATAATTATATTAAATATCTATTAGAATTATTGAGAAGACTAAATTAAAAATGATTTCTTGATTATTATATGTACGAGTTAATTAATAATAAATTTAAGATAAAAAATACAATTCCAAATAACAAATATATTTTTAATTTAACAAAAATTAGTTCATTTTGAATTAGAATAAAAAAAAAGTACCATTCACCTTTTAACCATTGAGAGTTTGTTTAAATATTTTAATAACTAATGAACGATTTCTTATTTCAGTTTCTAATTTATAATGCTTAATAAAACAAGCAGAGTAATAATGTGTCAAATTGTTATGCTTATATCGAATACTGTATATATAATATGTAATAATATTTATGTTTAGTAAAACAGGTATCATTAATTTGGAAAATTGACTAATTTTCGACATTGTTTTATTACCTAAATATCTAAATATCTTGGTTTTATCAAATGCTTTTAAATATTAATGATATATTAAAAAATTTAATTTAAGACTTATTATAATTGATTTATCATGTTTTACAAATTTTTTGAATGGTACTAAAATATATATTATATATTTGGGATACAGTAAATATTAATAAATTGATTTTTATTTTAAGGAGAATCATTACAAATACAAATATTAAGATTTATTTTTAAACAAATACATTAGAAACAATTAATTTTGTTATTTAAATATATAAAATGAAAATTGTTTTATATATACGTATTTCCACTGACGTTATAAATAATATTGATATAATCTTGACATCGATTAATTTAATTAATTTTTTGTTTCCTAACTTGTAGCTGTGATTAATTTTAAATTTAGTAAAAAATATCGTAATCTTATTACGTTCGATCACAGAATATTTGTAATAAAAGCTTGTAATAAGCTTTTAATTATATAAACACCTACAGTTGTAAGAATGTAATCAAATTTTATTATATATATTATATAAAGATATTTTCATAGATTAATCATTTTAAATGGAGTTTCTGAAATTAAGTAATTTAATCATTTTAATTTAGTTTCTGAGTAACTTGAAATATTAAGTAAAGAAAAAATGTTTTGAAATTTTAAATATTTAAATATAATATTAAAAAATACGTTAATTAATTTAATTGCGAAAATATCAAATATATATATATATATAACCATTGAATATTGAATGATTGAATCCTTGAAAAATAGTTAAACAGGAAATGATTAGCTGAAGATTCGATAAAATTACTTTCATAATCATTAACCCTTATGAATAGAAAATATTGTCACTGATAAGATTATTCGATAATATATTCCAGTAATACTTAAAAATTATATTGGATATTTTAAGTTTAAAGTTAATTACATTTTTGACATACATTCTACATGAACATATAATTCATTAATGTCATACTTACTCTAATTTTCCAGGCGAATATTAAAAATGATTTTAAATTATGTGTATTATACTCAAATTAATATTTTTAATTACAAATGAAATTATTGTATAATTTTTTTAACTTGTATATTATTTTAAGGTTTTTATTTGATCCACATTCTTATTTATTGAAAACGTTAGAAAAAACTTTAAATTTTACACGTTAAACATTCATCTTATTATCAATTATAGTTATGAATTATAGATTACTGTATACAAAATTATCATTTTATAAAATAATATTAAGATCCCTTGAAAACATTTGATTTATTTTGCAACTATAATGTTGAATCAACGATCGTAACTTTATAATTATGTATAAAGTAAAAGCTCTGTAATTAAATTCAGAATTTACTGTCATTATAATTGAAGAAAAAATATGATGTTTTATGCCATTTAATTAGAATAACAAAAAATTATTATGAAAAAATATAAATATCCTACATTTTACTGAAATATTTTATATTCTTTCTATTAGCTAATTAATAAGGTATTGAATAAAAAATATTTCACTTTTTAAGTATGCCTGAATAGACTGAATAGTCATTTTATTTTAAATATTTACTTGTTATAGCTTGCTTCTATAATTATCTAATTATGGTATAATTACATTCAAAGATATATTATCTATTTATAGAAAGCTTATTTACTTATGATACTAAAGATAAACATAATCAAATATGTGACTATGAAAAGGTTTATAGAGTTGGTTATTGCAACAATGAATTGCTATATTTTATAATCTCTTATGAATATAAATAAATAGAAAACAAAATATGGTCTATATTTTAAAAATATGAAAATATACGTTACTTATAGATAGTGTTTCTAATTTTATGAAAAACTTAGATATAGACCAATTTATAATTAACTTCTCTTAAACCCTTCTTAATGATTATCAAATCATCGGCAATTCATAAACTCAAATATTTGCTAACAAAATTTTCAGAATTTTAAACACTTCAAAGGAGTCAGTAATCAGCGAAGTGTCCAATGGATTCAGTAGAGATCTGTTTTTCATATTTGAAACAATAGCAAATGGCATAGTAAGTAATTGAATATAATATATGTAAATATAAGAAATGTATTTAATTTTTATTTTAATAATTATATGACTTTCATAACAGTATTAGCTATTTTGGAGGTCATAATGTGAATAATATGAATTTATTCTTATATATTGTTTCAAAATTGAAGTTCTATTTGTGTTATGCTATTAAAAAATTTATTTTAAAAATATATTGAACTGAAATTATTTATTCTACAATCAATAACCATATATTGGAACTGGAATTTTCAATTTTTTGCATTACAATCGATTTCTCTGAAATATGTACATAAATATTGTTTGTATTAAAATACTATTACTTTGATTTACTTATGAGTACTGCTTTAAATATTGGATAGGATTGTATATTATACTGATCATATAGGTTTTACGTTTTTATGTATATAAACCTTAAATTATTGAATTATAACTTGTTAATGTTTTTACATATTATAAACTAATGTAAAAAATTTACATGGAATGGCGATGAATGTACGATAAAAATTTGAGCAGTTTAAATAATTCGTAATATAATAAATAACAGAGAATATAATTGTAAGAAAATTTTTAACTGATAACTTAAAATTATTATTTAATATATTTTCAAAATTGCATTTTTGTTTTTTTTTAATATAGATATCGAAAATCTTATAAGATACGTTAACTTAATTTGATAAAGGAATTTATTTACATAATATTGAATATTATGTATACTCAATACACAGAACATGTTTTATAATATATTAAGCAATTATTTAATGACCTATTTGAAAATGTCACTTTTTTTCGACTTTTGTATTACTGAAAATTCTGCAGGTAGATTCAAATTATTTACAAATTTTATTACTTGATTTTATAAATTATTATCAGTAGTAAAGATTTTAAAATGAAAAATTACTAATTAAAATTAAAATTACTTAACATACATAATGTTTTAAAAACTGAAGTTTTATGATTTAATAAAATAAGAGAGTATAAAATTAATTTTTGGCATAATTACACTATAATTTGTAAATTGAAATTAAGCTTTACTATTTCATTCGTATTGTAAATTTTGTTGTAATTGCAGCATAACTTGTAAATTGAAATTGAGATTCACTATTGTAGTCATTTTGTAAAACAATATTTCAAAAATAAAGGTAAAACTCGATTGATTTCAAAGGTATGACATATATATTGATCATATATTGTAGTTGCTTATTTAATATAACTTATGGAAACGAAATAAAATTTAATATGTATATCATAGTAAAACAATACCACCGTGTAGTTATAACAACATCTTATACTGTATATAATTTAATTATACACAATATACTCTAAAATTGTTAATTCTTTAAAATAAATCTATAAAATTAAGTGTAATTTCAGTTGATAAAAAATCATTAAAATATTTTAATATTATTCTTATATTTATATTCACATCTGTTTAGCTAATTCCTCCATTCATTTAGCTACTTTTAAATTATTTCTTCATTTTCTTTGTTGTTTAATTTTTAAATTTAATTAATTAAATTGAAATAATTTAGATTTCACTAAGTATTGCTTTATATTATAGTTTAATTATTTTGATAAAAATTAAAATAATTATAAATATTAATTTCCTTTAAGTAATTATATCAATTATATACTTGCCAGTTGATTCATTATATTTTCTTCAATTATAATATGACTATAGAAACATCAATATTTGGTAAGGTAGAACAGTGTTTATTATAATAAAAATTTAAAAGTATATTAAAAGAAAGTTTAATTAATTTCAATATCTGGGGTTAGTTTATCAATAATGTATGTAGAGAAGTAAGTATATATTTATCAATAAAGATGTATTTTTTTATTATGTTTATATAATAAATATATTTTGTTTATTATTATTCGATATGTGACTTCTTCGTCTTTCATAGGATCTTAATAATACAATATTTTCTTATTAGTTACATAACATAAGTTTATGAAAATAAATAATGTAACTTTCTTATACCTTAATTGCAGTTTCGTAATGCAGATGATGCGAAAAAAGCTTTAGAACAACTAAATGGATTTGAATTGGCTGGTAGACCAATGAAAGTTGGTAATGTAACGGAACGCACAGATTTAATTCAAGGTCCTTCATTGCTAGATACAGATGAACTTGATCGTAGTGGTATTGACTTGGGTGCTACTGGAAGACTTCAACTAATGTTTAAATTAGCCGAAGGGACTGGTTTAGAGATTCCACCGGCAGCTGCAAGTGCATTGAATATGGCACCAATTATTACTCCACCGCAACCACAACAACAAATTGCTCCACCCATTGCAACTCAATGTTTCATGCTTTCGAATATGTTTGATCCTCAGAAGTAAGTTTATATTATCTTTTTAATAAAATACTAATTTTTCAACCAATGTTAGAAATCTTATGATTATTATGTATAATATTAAAATATCGAAATATTGCTTATATACATATTAAATCAAAACGGCTCATCAAAATTAAGAAATACAAATAAAAGAGAATAAAATAATAAATACGAATGACAACAAAATGTTAATATCTAAGTTCGTAATATAGAATATTTTTCTTATAGAATCAACTTTAATTATTATTTAATTACTGATTTTCAACATATTCATCTTTACAAAAAAAAAAATTGATCATAGAGACGTACATATGTAAACGAAGACATGCAATTACCTAAATATTTAAGGTAGACCACAAATACAGTAACAAAACTTAAATTCGTCAAGTGTTAATTTTTACGTACAAATTAATGAAATATTTTACCCTTAATAATAAATATATATATTTTAGTAAATTTTGAAATAAATTATAACCCGCATAAAACAATTACTTTTTCCAATTAGAATAAATAATTTATTGGAATTATTCATTCCATCATTTATATTCTAAACACTAAAAAATATTGTACATTAATAGGTTATAAAAAGTAATTAGTACTAACGAAAAATTATTTGTGCATGCAATATAATCTCTTGATTAACAAATTTTATTAATTTGTTTTTGTCTTTTTATATTATAGAAAAATAGTCAAATGTAAGGAAAAATGATTTAATAAATGAATTACCAATTATCATTTCATTAAATTTTATTATTCCACGGTTGGCATTTGAGTCATAAAATTTAATTTATTAATATTATTTAAAGGTATCGATAAACTTGATAATAAATAAATCAGAAATTTTAATATTGTGCTATAAGCTATAGAATAATCTAGTAAAATAACAAGGGGAATAACAACAATTATATTATTTTTAATAAATTCCAAATATTAACAAAGTTAAAGTAGTAAAAACTAGCAGAACTTAATATAATTCTTTTAAACTTCATTCTGGAATAACCAAATTATTAAGAATGAAATTAATTTTACTATTAAAATTATTAATAATAAAATAAAGATGATTTATCAGAAATTATAAAAAATTCAAATAAATGAAGATTTAGTGAATAATACTATTTATTTACTTTGTTTTTATTAGAATAAAATCAATATCTAAAAATTCAATAATAATAGTTTAGATGTTTTTAAGTAAAGTAGTATCGATAAAGAAGGATAAATCGAAGTAATCTAATGTCATTTAGAAGAACAATGAAAAAACTGGAAATTTAAGGTTTATTATTAAAAAATTTTACCACATTACTGAAATATATTTTATATCTTCCATACAGAAATTGAGAAATTATATATTCCAAACAGAAATTCCATACAAAATTTCATTATACAATTGTGTTTAATTAATGAAACTTAATTGATTTTCAATAAATATATAATTATACATATATTAATCGCAAAAATATGTCTATTATATTAGTGTACTTTGATTTCTAGAATTTTAAACTAATTGTATGTATTTTTTCCTTGCTCTTACATATTTGTTAAAAATATTAATGTTATTGTTACAAACTTTTAAGTAATGATAATATATGTACAATCTGTTTCAAAATATTTTTTAATTATAAATATTAATATTATATATGAAATGTGTATAATACAAAGTTCAATATATATATGCACATTTATTTATATATCATAGAAGTTTATACATGAATTTATTATTTAACAAGAGTGGAATTGCTGTAATATCTCTTGGAAAAACTAAATTCTTGTGTACAGTAATTGGAGTAAAGTCAAAAGTTTACATTCTTCAAATTGATATGTATATGTACTTGAAATCTTTAAACTAAGTGTAATTGAAAAATGTTAAATACATTAATTTGATTTATTTAAAAATCGCTCATTTATAGATTTTGTCACATCAAATATTTTTATTAATAGATATTAATAGTTCTATTTAATATTCATTAAATCATATAACTGAAAAATATAAAAGAAGTTAGAGTAAAAACAAACAATTTATAAATTTTTACCTATTAGAAAACATACTAGTTATAGTGAACATATGTAATTGTGAATATTTTATTTTCTCATAAGAAATCGAATTAGTAATATTTAGTAGTAACAACAATAGTAATCAAGGATAATATAATTATGTATATAGAATATTCATTTATTAAATTTAACAAATAAAGACGAGAAAAAAATATTCAAACTTTATTTTCTTATACAATGCTACTTAACTATACTCAATAATACTATAACTATATTCTAAATTATTTTTTTGAGAAAAAAGTTTTATTAAGAATAATACTATTTATTTCATATTTATGTATAAATGAATATTAAAAATAAGTGAAAACTTGATGTTGCCTTATTAATACATAGTGTATGTAATGAAATACAAAATGTAACAACAAATGATATTAAAATTATTATATTATATAATATACGCAATTTTTACTCAAAACAATATTAAACAGTACTAATGAAATATTAATGATAAAAATTACAATAATTTATAAGATGTTAGTTTGTAATTTATGACCATCAAAAAAGTATTTTAAAAATACACTTTTTGATATTTTAAATTATAAATTTTATAGATTCAATTATTTAGTAAAAATTCTTACATATAAAAAAAAAGATTCTACATAAATTATTTAAACTTATAAATAAATATTTTTAAATTTTTTATTTATACTTTAATGTTCTATCACGTAAGTTTTATAAATTCTATTACAGTAGTATTATTTTATTAGAAATGTTATTTTGCTAAAAATAAAAGAAACAAAATTCCGTTTTAATTATCACTTTTTATATTAAAAATTTTTTAATTTCGGAAGATTCTACAGGGTTGGCAATTAATCTGTTATAATTTATTATTTGGATAATACATTGTTGATAAAATGGTCTTTGTGATAGTAATTTAACCCTTAGTAATCTTGGACAGCCTGTAATTGTTTTAAAATATTTTTTATTAATTTAGCACATATTAGATTCATTATTCAGTAGATTTTAAATATTAAAATTAATACAATGCTGCTAAATATTATGATTTAGTTTTAAATGTAATCTATTATTATGCATCCAATAATATTAAACATCTGTATATAACACGACTCAAAAAAATTTTTTATTCTATCGACTTTCAAACGTTAACAGAGTATCATAATCAACCGTTAATGCATATAATCAATTCTACCTATTGAAACATATAATGTGTCAATAACAAAAATTCATGATTTCTAAAATTTAAAAATTTGGCATTACATTACATAAATATAAACTTCTTCAATTGATTAGTAATATATTTTTTTAGTAAAAAACTAATAATTTCTTAAATGACTTATTGTAAATAGACTAATTATCCACAAATTTAATTTCCATATTAATGTTCTTAATTTATACTAATATTTAAATGAATTTTATTATTCTACAGTAAGAGTTCATTTAATTGTTCATAGTGTCTAAAAGAAATACTTTAATTCAACGAACATAATTAAATTAACACTCAACTGATTTTCTTAAGCTGATCATTTTTAGCTCATATTATAGGACTACTTTCTTTCCAATTTATTAAGAATATATTAAATATTAATAACAATAATTACAAGTATTTATAGTAGCTTTACGTAAATAAATGTGATTTTTAGATAATAAACTGTTTTCTACATAACTATCATGATTGATTTATCATTTAAATGAAAATTCAAACGCCTTTTAACTTTGTATTTTGTATGCAATAATTAGAATGTCTATTACAATTTAATCAAAATGTAACTAAATCATATTCAATTAAAAATGTATTTATTACATAATTTTGATAGCCAAAGAGACTAAATTTATAATTTTAATCAATATACCGCGAAGATTCAATATATAATAAAAAAAGACAGTAAGCAGAATCGATGTACATTTAAATATTATAATTATTCATAACTTTAAAACCTTTTAATATTTGTATTAATTTTTAGTTCAATAATATATTTATGTATTTAATTGCAGATATATATATATATATATATATATATATATATATATATTTCATATTTATTTAAAAATAATTGTTATATTAGAAAAATAATATTTAATCGAATTTGTTTTAAATATATGTTTAAGTAAATTTTATATATGAGATATATAAAATTGAAAAATTTATGAATTTTGTTAAAAAATAAAAGTGTGTTAATAATTATTTCCTAGTGAAATTTTGATTATATAAAAAATGTACATTTTTTACACAAGGCAATATTTTGTTTTAATTTTAAAAGAAAGTTTATGCATTTATTAGGTTTATAAATGTCATTACAGAAGATTTAAAATAAACTATAGAATATTTCAATACCAATCAACAAGTCGATTCCATAAATACTTACGAATTAATACTATAGATTATTAATGTTAGAACTAGTGTTTGAAATTCAACTTAATTAATTAGTGGTTTAAAATAATTTTAAAGTATTTCATTTTAGCAGTTAGCATTTCTTGAATTACTTTGAATTGATTTACAACTTATGTCATTATATATATATATTATTTCATAATAATTACTATGATTACTTATATAAGACTTATATTAGAAATTGTATACATTGCCAGGAATTTGTTAACAAAAGACTATTCCATTATTCAACGTTTATATTTGTTCTATGAATTCTTTATTGGGATTATGATTATATATCAAATATACAAAATGTAGCAGATAATATCTTTAACATAATAAGCGTCACAAATTTCTTGCAATACAATTCTTCATGTTTTCGTTTAATAACAATTTATATCTACACATACAAACATTCCATAACATATTAAAAAGCTCGATATAGTTTTAGGTTATTTGGTAGCTTAACGTGAATTGTAAAAGTTTTTAAAAATAACAAATAGAATTTCTGAATAATGATGCAAATAATTATTACTTATATTATTGTACATTGAATATGTAGTTACATAACAAATTAAAAGTACCTTTTTCAAAGTTTTTATCTAATTTGATTATTTTATTTTATTACAGCATTTTTTAAATTTTAAATTAACAATATTAGTGACTTCATCTATGAACATAAAAAGATATACATTACAGCATTAATATCGTTTATGCAATTAAAAACTTTCAATTGGTATTTTAGAAAGCTAATTGTTTTGTGCACTTTCATATAGCTGTATCTAAGTTTTCGGTCTTACAAAAGCGGCATTTTATGCCTCCACTGTAATATATTCCTTTTTTATTTCAGAATGCAGTCTATTACAAAGAACAGTTATATTTATCAAAAAGCTTAGATTAACACGGCAATAGATATTATGCACATTTTGTCACACAATCAAGAATATCAATGTTTTAATATTGATTGTAGATATATGGCCATCGATATATTTATTCTAAGTAGGAAAACATTCAGGAAGAAAGGTGGTTTGATCTGCTTTGTAAGCGTATCTTCATCAATATTCTTATCATTGCTATTTTCAGATATTAAAAATAAAAGTATTATTGAAAAATTTCTTTCAAATATTTTTATTTTCTTTATTATTTGTAATAGCTCTTATATTTATATTATTCTTGAAACATCAAAGTGCAAAACGATAAATTTTAGTACAATCGCGTATTTTATTATCAAAAATATTAAAATTATATTAAAACAACTACAAGATTAAAATATCTATTAGGTCTATAAATTTCTATATCTGGGAACCTCATAATATCTGTTATTATAATTAAGATTACAAAATTAAATTTTTAGTTGATTCCACCAAATCCTAAAATTTTGATTAGCCACTTTATTTATATTATTTGGATTTACAATATATAGTATAGATTTTATATAAAACTAATTGTGTTTTTAATTTATTTATTTCCAAAATATCTTAAAATTCTGTAAAAATGTTATAATAGTTTTTAAATATATAAATATATTTTATAACTTCTTTATAAATATTTAGTTTTTAATCGAATATTTGAGATTTGTATTTTAAAATAACAAAGAATATTGCTTGTGAACAATGTGCATTTATAAAATTAATAAAAAAATTTACATATATTTCTATTAAAAAGACTTTGAAAATATTATATAGAAAATTATATAACCATTATTTATGTGTATAAAAATATATATCTATTTTTCTAATATAAAAATGATTTGATTACAGAGACAGTATATCGATAATTTTAAATATATTCTATTGATTATACTTATATTATTTTATAATATAATATTTAATATGTACTAAAAAGTGTATATAACAATCAGAATATATTAAAACTATAGGATACAATTAACATAGCATAGTTGCCTATTATACATTTTCTTATACCTGATTTAATATTTTTGGTTCATATTCTATTTTATTTTATTTATGTGGTTGAATAATAATGGTGGGTCTTTCTAATAACAGTAGTAAGAACTGAATATTAATATTTTAGGAACATTAAACCGTATTAGTCTGACATTTCCAACAAAAACATTTAAAACCCAAAAAAATTACAAACCCTCAAAAAATAAAAGAAAATATATTATACATATAATTTTAATCACTAACAATCACTGAATTATATATACAAATAATATATAATACATAAATAGAAATAAAAGTTAATTATCAAAAAGGTAAAATTTAATTTTAAAGATAAAATGAATCTATTATACATATATTATTAACATAACTAAAGTAATCGTTCTGTAATTTGAATAACTTAAAAATAGAAAATTCATCATTTAGTATATTAGTAATATATTTTTGAAAGTAAATGGTATTGTAAAACTTGAAAGTTCTAAATATATATTCTAATGCTTTAAAAAGAATACTTTGTAAATGCTAGAAACTTATATTATATATTTGATTAAAATATTATTAAATATTTTGTATCCCTTAAAAATACAAATCTGAATAATTAATTCATAAAAATAATTTTAATATTAGTACCTAGTATATCACAAGTAATGAAAAACATACGATAATGTCAAAGCTATATTTAAAATTTTCTTTTTTGTAATTGAAATAAATTTATATTATTTGTTATATTATATAAAATTGTTTTACACCTCTACATTTAATAAATGTAGTTAAATGTATCGTGAAATACTGTTTTTATTTTTTCTTAAAGAGTTTCGTTGAAAGTTCCATATATTTACTCAATTTTTAAATCCAAATATAAAAATACTTGTTCTTGTTATACTTAATTCATTTTTCATAAAATAGCAGTTTTTATAGACTTAAAATCTTTATCTAAAAATAGCATATTTCATATTTTCTTAAGTTTTTAAAAACAAATTAAAATTATATTATGTAATAATATTTATACAAACTTTTGTAATATAAACAGTGCTGACATTGCTTTACTTTTTCTATATGAATGTATATTTATATGCATTATAGTGTTTAGTAAAATAAAATAAAATAATTTTAATTATAATTTTAACCAATTAATTTTGTAATTGTTAGTGTTTTTTTAATTCTACCGATATTAATCTAAACAATTTAGAATGAAAAGTGAAAAAAGTTTAAATTTAAATATTTAATAAAATCTTTTTATTATTACAAAATGTTTATACATTTGATTTAACATAAAAATATATTATTTCAAATTGTAAAATAATAATAATAATAATTATATCTACATGTATAAAAAAAACATTTTTTTAATTGATTTTATTAATATATATTAATTATATTTAGTGCGTATCAGGAGCATAAAATGTTTCTGTTGTTATTTGTTTCAGCGAAACAAATATTATATGGGTTAAAGAAATACGTGATGACGTAATTGAAGAATGCAACAAACACGGAGGAGTCTTGCATGTATATGTAGATCAGGCTTCGCCACAAGGAAATGTTTACGTGAAATGCCCATCAATAGCTACTGCCGTAGCTGCAGTTAATTCTTTACACGGAAGATGGTTTGCTGGTCGAGTTATAACCGCTGCTTACGTGCCTGTTGTCAATTACCACTCACTGTTTCCAGATGCAATGTCTGCAATTCAATTACTTATTCCTAGTGCTCCTCGTCGAGGCATGTGATTATTAATAAAAATTTCATATTTTTTTTATATATTTTTTTTTTAATGAAGTGTAATTAATCAATTTTTTCTTTATCTTATTACTACAAATAAATAAAGCGTCCAAAATACCATTTTATTTTATTATTAATATATTTATTTTTTCCATATCTCAATTATCGTATTAAATTATTAATTATAATACGAAAAATATAGTGTTAATTATTTCATATATCTTTACTTTAATTTTTTCAGTTAGCTTATGAAGCAAAAAATTATATAATTTATGTGTTTTTAATACAAGTGGAATAACTACATAAATTATTATTACTATTAGTGAAAATTATAATTCGAAGTTATTACTAATTATGTAATAAACATAGATTGTATAGAATATTATTCATCTTATTTAATAAATTAACTTTAATAATAAAATTACATATTATTTACTATATGTTTTTATATACTGAACAAAAAAATTTTAAATTAAGAAAAGGGGCTTATTTTAAATTACTTTCAAATTACTTATTTATTGAATTTTTTTTAATAAAAGATTATTCTATTTGAAAATTGCAGATATCGGATTAAACATTGATATACAATATTAAAGTAATTGTTGAATGAGAATTACTTATTAAAACTACAATATATCAGTACATTATTTGTTAGTAATAAAAATGTTTTCTTTTATTATTAAAATTTATTATGTAATAGGATGTACTTATTTTAATTATTTTAATGTGATGTAAATCTCTTAAATTAATACTGATTATTATTTTTTAAATTATTCGTTTTAATATCCTTAAAAATATTTTAAAAATTTTTATAAGTAAGCAAACTTTTTCTTATTTATTTGCTTTATCTATTTATATTAATTACTCATTAACTCTGTATGTAACAGTGAAATTAATTTTTATTTACCTTACTACTTTAACTTTGTTGGTTTGATATTTACTTCGAAGGTATTGGATTATTTTGTTATTTGAAATCTAATACGAAGATATATTTTATTATTGCATTCTAAATAATTTTTAAATAATACATTTTTTAAATTTTTGGAAAAATTGAATAATAAAACTCAATACAAAGTTACTGACAAAACAATATAATATAGAATTGTGTAAATTTTTATTGAAAGATAAAAATAAAAATACCTTTATAATAAAAAATTAAAATATTCATTATGTCAATTATTATATTTATTAAAAAATTAAATTAAATCAATTCAATGTTCAATTTTGTAATTATTTGTAATTTAACTGATTTAACTCTACATAATTCTAGTTTCAAATTAATTTGTAAGTTTTTCATGAATATATTCAACTCGGAAAGTAAATATTACTGAACATAGAAGAAATAAAAGTCGCAAATAGATTATATAGAAAAATACGTAATATTCACAGCCTATCATTATTACATTAAAATTGTATGCTTAGTATTTAGCATCAAATACGGCGTTAGTGAAAAGTTAACAATTTCTTGAAATATGTTGAATTTATTAATCTATATTAATAAAAAAAAGTACATAAACATATGCAATAAATATATGTAATATAATTATACTTAATATTAAAACCTAGATATTTTATTTCAAATTAATGTATTAATTAATAGATAGTAATATAATTAAAAATTAATAAAATTAATTTGAACAATAATTGAATGCATTTTAATTAATCAAAAAATGGTATAATGAACTGTAGGATATCAACATGTTTCTCTGTACTATAATGTGCTAAAAGTTCGTCGATGACTTTTGAAATTCTTCCTTCGTAAAATAATGTAAATAGGCTAATTGATTTTTATTTACTACTTTTCTATGTCTTTATTCTACACTTTAATTAGGCACATTCCATTTATGCTTTATAATAATAACAAATAATATTAATAATATATCTTTAATAGAGCAAAATACTATTTTTATATCGAAAAAAATTAGTTCGACATCCAAATAAAATATAAAATTATAATATTTTAAATAATGTTTCCAACTTTACAAATATTTATGTATATATATATATATATATATAAATGCATACGCAAATACATGCTTTTTAAAAATGCATAATTAACAATAATTGAATAATACATGGATAATGATGTAAAGTAATTATATTGTAGTAATCTCATTAGTTGTTGGGAGAAAAATACCAAAATTAATTTTTACATTTTTAAACTTTTTTCATAATTTACTACTTAAATTATAACTCGTTAAAGTTATAATAATTAATAATGAAGTTTGCGAAACCTTAAAAAAATTGTTCATTACATCTTGCGATGCCAATGAGTATAATTAGAAAATTATTTTCATACAGGATTATGTAAAAAAGAATATGATTAAAATGAAAGAAATAAAAATAAAATTAATATACACAACTACAATGTCTTAAATGCTATCACCAAAATTTAAAAAGCTAATACTTAAATCTGCTAATAAAAATCTATTTACAAATTTACAAATGTTTTACAAGAATAAATACAAATTTTATATAGTCTACGTTTAAATTAAATTCTACGATTTATTTAATTATGTACACCGTTGTTTTAGTAGAAACCATGACAGCAACCTCCACGTGCAAGGGCACGGCATTCGATACTTGAAACGTAGGTCGTCGTCACGTGGATCTAAATGGTGGGGAAAGTTTGTATCTTATATTATGAAGTGAATACATATTATGGTTGGCTGTGACATTTTTCAGTTTTGTGATCAATAATTTTTGTTTATTTTTATCTGTTTGAAATTTATATAAACAAATTTGTGATTCATTTTTTAAAAAATCAATTTTTTTAATAATACTTATTGATATATTTTATAAATTGTATTAGTAAACTTAGAATTGTAAGTTAAAATATTTTTGTAATTTGTTAAGTTAATAATTATGGTACAATGCAAAGTGTTAACGTAAAAGTTTAAGTAAAAAAAATTATTAAATTTAGTAAAGCACAAATTATTGTATATGTAAATGGAAAATAGGCGAGTCTATACAATATTGTTTATTAATTCATATATTTAAAATTTTAATAATAAAATATTTTCTATTAATATTTTTTTAATATCACCATTGAAATAAAAAAATAAATCTCAAATTGGACGTCGACATTATTATAAGGTAAAATTTAATGTATTAAGTTTTAATATTTACAAAATTAATATTTAAAATGTTAATTGCTTAATAGATATATATATTAAAATATAAATAAATTGCTCGAATACTTATTTTGAATTAATATAAAATTCGTGATTTTTTAATCGAGAAAATATTAAGTTTTTACAATATAAAATTTTATATTATTTTTTTATTTTAGGAAAAATATTGTAAGTTGTTTTTTTTAATTTTAAATTTTATCTACTTTTTCTGTAAAAATATTTGATTTTTACTATTTATTGATGATACAATAAATAAATGTAATATTAATAAGTATTTTAAAAAGTATTTAATTCGGTTATTTTACATTTTAATACCATATGCCAAATTAAAAGAGGTCAATGATCGCTATAAAAATATTCGCGTGCACGTGGAGGTAGTTGATGACGGTTACGATTGTAAAGTTGTTAAAGTATATATTTAATTTATTAATTTTATAATCTAGGCATTTAATCACAACGCCATTTTATAAAAATCCTAAATGAATTTTAAATGTTTAATTATCTAAATAGAAAATCATCAAAGAGATGATTAAACTTATTAAAATCATTTTAATTAATAACTATAAATTAATTTTCAAATGTAATACATAAAACTAAATTTAAAATTTTTTGGACATTAATGGATTATAAAAAGATTGAATAGTTATTGTTTATTGCTTCGGTTAATTGTGGTAAATTGTAATAATTCTAAATTTAAAGTCGAGTTTTATGAAGAAAATTATATATTTTATTTACTTTTATATAAGTTAAATATTTAAGTAATTTATTTAAACATAATTACGTACATATATTAAGTTTATTTTTCATGGATATACATAGTATAAATATATATACAATAATTCATAAATAGTAACAAATGCAATGGATAACTTTCAATATATTATTTATTTTGCAAGTAAAATATCATATTTAATAATATTTAAACTTTTACCTTATAGTTTTAATATATTAATATGTAAGTAATGTTCCTATAGTCAAATATATATTAATTAAATTAATCAAAAGTATATTTGAAATAATAACAATAATTATAAACTATATTTTTACTGGTTAAACAATAATTATTTTGTTAAAAAGTCAAGGGCTTGCATTTTGATAAATTTTATTAATAAATTTATATAGATAGAAATAAGTTTTATAAAATAATCAATAATATATGTCAAGTAATTAAAAGGTATAAAATGCATAAAATATAAATTCTTTTTTTTTATTTGTTTGATAATCAAGAATTTGTATTTAATTAAACAAATTTGAATAGCTAATATAAGCCATTCTCTTAGTGCAAAATAACATACAGTATTGGAAAGAACTTATAAAAATATTTTCTGAAAACTAGTGTTGAAAGACAATTACAAATTTATCAATTTTAAAAGAACATATTTTCTTTTAACTAAAAAGAAATATATATTTTTATATATATTCAATATATTCAGAGATTATATATACACAATATATACAATTAATGCAAATAGTATATTATAAATTAAAAAACAGTCTATGTACTTATATATTCACATTTAACAATAAATTGCTATTTTTTTATTTTGTATCTCTTATTCACAAATTATATTTGTATTAAAATATTAATTATTTAATGAAAAAAATTTGTATAATAAATATACCTTTATAGTGATTGCGTATGTCACTTTAAGACTTTTGATGACAGACATTATAACTTTGCAGGATTTTATACCATAAAAAAATGATTTGTTAAAATATAAATGGTTGATTTATTCCACCTGCATGGCCTCTATTTATAGTACAAGCAATATAAAAGGAATTTGAAACCTTTACAGATAGTTATACTAGATTTATATATCATATCAATATACTATGCAGTCAAATGTAAAAATGAGCTTAAGTTTATTAACTGCATCGATTAGCTGTAACATATGAACATGTTTCCTTTGAACATAATAGAAAACAAAAGTAAAATTTACGCATTATTAACAATAATTGCTTTTTCTTTATTTAACTGTTAAACTACGCACACTAGTAAAGAACGTTCATTATTTAATAAAGTAAATAAATTACTTTTTACTTAAATAAGTTACTTCTAATTTACATGAATATAGATAATTTACAGTACTATTAACTTACAATTAATTTGAAAATCATTTCGGTAATTTTAATTTCAGCAGCAGTTTCGATCAACAACCTTTTAATCAAGCTAGTGAACTATTAAAAAAATAAGTAAGTTAACTGGCATCAACGATATCACTGATATTTTATATTAAGACAATTTTCTATAATAACTTAACTGTTTTATTTGAACAGTCATAATTAATAAAAACTATATTACGTTACATAGATATAGCAAAATTATACTGTAATAGTGTTTAATTTGATATATATTTGAGCATAATTGTAATTAAATATTCGAACTTTCACGTCTATACTATTTGTGAATAGCTTATATTAGAACATTAAAAAAAATTTTAACAAGATTGAGTTTTTTAGTGTCTTAAATAAAAATTAAACTTGTTCTTGTAATAACTTAATTTTTGTCACCCATGTTATTCATCGAGACTACAACGTCATGGTGTTGTAGGTTTCGACTGATGCATTGCCGTTACAATGTTTAGTATAAATAAATTAAAACCTCATCTCTTTTATATAATAATTTAAATTTTAACAATTTATTAAATAAATTCTAGGTCAGATTATAATGTTTAAGATGTTTTTAATAGTATATTAATAAATAATGTAAAAAATTATTCTAAAAAGTAATCAAAATATTCTTTTGAACGTAGCACTCTATTCGAGAATTACGATATACTAAATGAAAATTATATTTGTTTATATAATATTGTAGTTAAAATTATTTGATGTAATTCCTTATTTAAATTTAAATTCCAATTACTTCATTATAACCAGATATCTAATCCGACTTAATATAAAAAGAAATTTGTACCATTATATCCACAGTTCATGAAACGTCGAGATTATTATTTAGGAATATTTTGTAATTGAATACGGTAAATTACTTTCAAGGCAAACAGAAATGAATCGTGTAAATTTAGGCCTTCAAATTAGATTATTTCTCAGAAAGTTATGATATAAGCTGTAACTATTGTTTGCGGTTTGCAATTCTTATTATATTGACAATTCTAATATTCTACTTTTGATCCATCTTAATATATTTAGCATATAAATTTGATTTTCGGTACTACTTTTTTTTTTTTTTTTTTTTTTATAAGATGCCCAGAAAATAAAATTTATTGTCATTTCCAAATATGCTATTCTCCTGGTTTACCTGAAGTGTCAATCGAACATATTATTAGAATAAACTATTTCACAATTTTTAGTTTTGCTTTAATGAAAAATATAATTTAGATAATAAAAATATATACATTTTTTATATAAAATGGTAAAACTACTTTTTATCTAAACAAAAATAAGTATAATTTAAAATTTAATATATGTATAAAAAATATATTGTCTTAAAATCGATATAAAAAAATTTTCTATAAATAATTATATAAATTTAATATTACGTATAATATAGCATAAATATAGCATAAATATTCTATTTTATATAACGATATAATGACTCGAATGAGAAAGTTATATAATCATCCATATAATGACATCAGTATCATAACTACATGAGGATTTGTCATACAACTAAGTTATGAGTTCAAATTATATTTGCAAACATAAAGTAACAGATTCGGTTAGTATTTAAAAAATAACGAATCCATTGAATGAAATTTACGTAGTATAAAAAATTTTAAATATATTAGTAAATATATCATGTTGCATAAACTAATATTATTTGAATAAATCCAAATCCTAATAAATTAATTTCAACTAATTTAATTTGATATTAATAGGGCAATAAAAAAAATATAATTGTCTGATTATTATTGAAGACAAAGAATAATATGAATTTTAAAATAGTCTATTGCGGTACTCTTAAAATTCATTCGTAATTATTATTTTATATAAAAATAAAAATATATTTTAATCAACTTACGACTATTAGACATTATTTTATAAAATTTGGAAAATACAAAACCACTTATGTGTAATCCAATTTTATTTGAAAAAGGTAATTAACCCTTATTAAAAATCAAAAAACATATTTTTAACATATTTTGTATTACAGTAAAACTTTATAGAAACACAGTATAAATTTATTTTAGCTTTTAAATAAATAAAATAGATTCAGATTACATACTGTTATCTGGGTTATTAATGTATGTTATTAATATTAATATCAAATAATGTATTTCATATTTTAAAATATATATAAAATTACACACGAAGTCGTAAAGTATTTTCGAGAATAAAGGACTTACTTATAATCCTTATAAATCCGATATGAAATAATATATTAATATATATATATAATATAATATATTATATATAATATTATATAATATAATTCATAAACCATTAATTAATTAATTAATTAAAAAAACCTTATTTAAAGATTATGCTATTAAAAATAATAATGATCTATAATGTTTCGAAATCTCGTTAAATAAATTAAAGTAAAAATATTCGTAAACCAGAATTAGTTTAAATTTCAATATGTGTAACTTTTTATTAAGGATAAGAAAATTTTGGGAAAATGTAATATCGTTTTGTTCTATCTATTTTAGATGTACTTCGAATACCATTTAACATAAACTATTCACATTATAACGATTTTGAAATCAACTTATACCATCACCTGTAACTTCTTTGAACAATCCATATTTCTTTAATTTTTAGTGTTTAGTAAATATTATTTTTGTAAAATATGGTTTTCTTTATATGCAAATTAATTTAAATAAAGTAAATTTTTCTTTTGTCAGAATCCGAAATAAAATATTCAGAGTGAGGTAATTAAGGCTGTTTATTTTATAATTAATAAACAAAAATTATTATTATGTCATAATTAAATAAATTCACTAATTTAACATTTAATAAAATCAGTTTTTTTTAAAATACGTTACAAAGCAAAATGAAAATCTAAATCAAATTTGAATCTATTAACTACAATTTTGTTTTTTATATAATTGTTTCTTAAATTAAGTTTATAATATAATTATTGATAACAATTAATTTTAATTATTTATAGGCGATACTAAATTTAAAAAAGAATAGAAAGCAAAGTTTTACTGAACTATCTATTAGGTCACACATTTTGTATACATTTTCAGATAAGGAAATAGAGATAAATTCTCCGCAAAAAAGAAATGTTTCTCTTTTTTTTGCATTGTGGATTCTTTGATTAGGACTTCGTCCGATTTCATGCTAATAGAATAAAAATACGTTAGGTGATTCTCATAGATCACATATACATTAATTTTATTAATAAAGAAAAATAACGGAATATATATATTTTATAAACACTTATTCCAATTAAAAATATATTTATGACCAAGATGAGAGTAAAAAATTACCCATTTAATAGTGCCGGAGAATGCAAACTATGCATAAAATAATAAAATGAATGTGAATGAAATCGAAACAACGGTGCAAGAACTTTTGTGTTTATCATTGAATAATTTATTCTAATAAAATATTATCCGTGTTTTTATTTTATGTTTTCAATAATATAAAAAATTGTAATGAAAATTACACTGAGGAGGTATTTAAATAATAAGGCGACATTGTCAGGTAAGGAGGCAATTAATTTTATTAGATGAAATTTATTATAAATTATATCTACAATATTAAGAAAAAATATAAAACATTTTAACATATAAAAAAATATTATTATAGTATAAGAAAATCATCGAAGTTTAAATTATATAAATTCATAGAATCATTTTTAAATATAATCTAAATTTCATTCAAATTTGATTTCCTCTGTTTGAATTTTTTCTCTGAAATTTGTTGAGGTATATAAATATTAGGATACAATTCAAATTCAATGATAGAAAATCCACATTAAATTTATGTAAACTTTCTGCAATATATTTATTTACTAATAATAATTATAAAAATAATATTAAAAGAAGCATAATTTATTTCATTCCAAGGTAGTACATAAAGCTTCAGAGTAGTGTAATGTTAGCATTAAAATATATACAGTAGCTATAATGAATTTATGGATTTCGCGGAAGGCTTTACTTTAATCTTAGTAAGGATTTATACTAAGAAAATGTTTAAAAAATAAACTGAAATTAATGACTCTAACTAGCAAAATTATATTTACAGTACAGTCTTCAAAGTATAAATTATAGTTTCTTATTATTGCTACATTTATAAACCAAATATTTTAAATTTAATTATATTATATTCAAAATGTTTAAAACTAATCTTATATTTAATTTTTATAAAAATTCGTTAATTAACGATTAATTTATAATAAAATGAGCATTTATTATTCTAATTATTTAAGTCATTTATATAAATTACTCTCTTTACAGGAAAACGTAAAAGCGTCATCAAGTATTCAACATGGTTGGATTTAATATAAATTCATTTATTAATCAAGAACACAATGATAACTCTAACATTCATACAGAATTTCAATCTTCAGAGTTGCAAAAATGTAGCACCTCAGTTCAATATAAATCCAATTTGAGTGCCTTAAAAACAAGTTCTGTTAATTCATTTTGTTTGTCAAAAAATTATAGAAACTATAAATGTTTAATTTGTCAAAAAGTATTCAGTCAGAGAAGTATATACCAAACTCATTTACGAACACATGGGCAGAATATTGACCCATATCGTTGTAATATTTGTGAAAAATCATTTGCTGTTCCAGCTCGATTAACACGTCATTATCGTACTCATACTGGAGAAAAACCTTATCAGTGCGAATACTGTAATAAATCTTTTTCGGTGAAAGAAAATCTTAGCGTTCATCGTCGAATCCATACTAAAGAAAGACCTTACAAATGCGACGTTTGTGATAGCGCTTTTGAACATAGTGGTAAACTTCATCGGCATATGAGGATTCATACAGGTGAACGGCCACATAAATGTTCTCTTTGTAGTAAGACATTTATTCAAAGTGGACAGTTAGTTATTCATATGCGTACTCATACGGGTGAAAAACCTTATATTTGTAAATCCTGTGGAAAAGGATTTACTTGTTCTAAACAACTGAAAGTGCATACTCGTACTCATACAGGTGAAAAGCCATACAAATGTGATATTTGTGGTAAATCATTTGGATATAACCATGTTTTAAAGCTTCATCAAGTAGCTCATTACGGAGAAAAATTTTATAAGTGCACACTTTGCGAAGAGACTTTTAATTCTAAAAAGTTAATGGAAATACATATAAAATTTCATTCAAATATGTTAACTAATAATTCGAACTCAACTGAACTTATTTTTGATAATATAAAAACTATTGAAAATAATAAAATCTTAGTAATTGGAAATAAAAAAGAAAATAGAAAAGTAAGAAATACGGATTTATTAAAGTCTATTGAAACAAGAAATAAAAATGAAACATCAAATAATGTAATTTATCCTATATTTCAACATCGAAATGAAGCAAATCATCAAAAAAAGCCAAATATTGTTAATAATCAATCTTGTTTATCAATAAGCAGAAATTTAATTATATCAAAACATATTAATAATATAGGTACAGAAGTAAAACATATTCAAGATGTAGCAACAAAAAATAATAAATCTAATCATCAGTATTTTTTTACTGATCTCAATCCAGTTAAGTCATGCATATATGAAATTGAAGCAAATAATTTTTTTTCCAAAGAATATTTGCCAACCTTTTGTTTATCAAATAATCATCAAGATAAAAGGGTAGAAACCGATGTAAAAATAATTGGAGAGAAACAAGCTACTAATAACGAATTGGAAAACCACGAGAATTTTACTTCGCCAATATATACAAATCATTTTAATCTAGTGATACCTAATGCAAGAGATAATTTTAGTCTACCTCCCCGTAAAAGATGTAAAATGATTTTAGAATCAATGAAGACACAAAAGATCGAATTGGTAACAACGAAACGATATAGTTCTGTTATAAGATTTGCAAAAGCTGATAGTACCAACTTAGCTAATAATTAATATTTTATTTTATCATTTAATTAAGAATAAACGTTTAATAATTTAAAACATTAATAAACAATTTTTATTTACAAAGATACATTAGGATCATTTTTTGAATGTAAAAATGAATTTGCATAAGAATAAAAATAACTTTAGGTTAATTATAAATTGAACCAATAAATTTATCAATGTGTAAATATAAACAAGTGAATAAGTAAATTGTTTTAATTTATAAACATAGATTTTTTGTAACTATAAATTAATATATATCTTTTTTATTTGTTCTACTTAAATTATCTATTAATGTATCATTTACTATTTATAAAATTTAAATTAGTATATTTTATTAAAAAATCAATTTGTGGCTTACCATACGATTTTTATTAAACACATGCGTTCTTATTTGTTTTTTAATCCAGAAAAAGAATTATCTTCAGTGTAATTATCAATTGATGGGCTAATAAATATAACCACTCATGCATTACTCATAAGACAATAATTTATACGTAAAATATATTAAAATTTTTTTAATCAAATAATAGTATAAAAAAAAACAAATTATACTGAATAGAATTGAACAAAAACATCTCTAAAAATCAATTCTATCAAACAATAAATTAAAATTTATAAAAGTAAATTTTAAATAATATGTTACTCAGATGATCGTTTTCGATTCATTTAATAATGTAATTGAAAAATAAAATTATTTAAAAATTGATAAATTTAATTATATATTTGAAAATTTTGCCAAGATAGGTAAAGATTAATTTGTTAGAATTCACCAAAGTCTACATTAGTAATATATAATTCGATAAAGTTATGTTTATGTTCATAACATAAACATAACACATTTATGTTCATATCATTATATAAATATCTAATGAATGAATAAAAAATATTTAATAACCGTAGGAACACGTGAATTTTACTTTTCTAATATAATCGTGTACAAAAGCTAGTAAATTCATATAAATTATAATTAATGCAAATATGTAAAAAGAATAATTCGTCAATATACTTCATTTAATTAAATATTATTAAGTATTATTTAAATGTCCTGCAAATATGTAAGTTGCATTTTCAGTGTATCAATTAATACGTATAATATAAATAAATTATATAAAGTTTAAGTCTTAGATTTATAAAAAGATTATATTTTTTTATTGTTCCCTGAATTATTTAATAATTTACATTTCATATTAATTACTATATTTTTGTATTATTGTTTGTGTTCTTCTGTCTTGTTCTTATTTTGTCCTAATTCACATATTGTTACAAGTACAAAAAGTTTTCTTTTATTTAGACACGATTTTAGAAGTAAATCGAGATACATTTAGAATTATAACTGTTACCTGCTCAGTAAGATCATCGTACTTGATTATAAATTATCTTTATTTCACTAATAAAAGTGTTATTGCATACGATATAACATTTTGTTCTTTTAGATAGCGGTAAGATATTTGGAAATCATTATATTTAAAAAGGAGATATCAAATTAATAGAATGCACTTTGAAAAAAAAATCAGTGAGATTCATGATGAAATTGAAATGAAAAAAAAAACGAAAATGAAATTCGCTTTCGATATGAAATTAATGGCCACTATTATGGTATGAATTACTGGAAGTATTTATTATAATAGGTACAAGCAAGAATTTAATATTTAATTGTTAAATATTATATTTATTTACAATTGAAAATTCTCAAGTAATGATGAACCATCTAATTTGGATTCATTGATTTATTAAATACATTAATTACATGAAAAAATAAAATATTATCTAGCTATGTTTATCAAACCAGTTTCTTCAAGTGTTAATATTATTAAAGAAGTTATAGATAATATACCATAAAATAACTAATTTAATTTCTAAAATGTCTATATTGGAATAGATATCTTATATTTAATTGGTAAGTACTTTTGTGTTAGTGTTGGTGTGTGTGTATTATTTATTGACATTGCTCAAAGTGATTAACAATTATGAATTTATCTCAGAAATGAAAGAAAGAATAATGGCAGATAAATTAATAAAAAGCAGTGTGAAATGCTATTAAAAGTGTTAGTTTGAAATCCTTGTGAGTGTAAATGTAAAAATAACGTGAATAAAATATGCAAAAAAGAAAGTTGTGAGAACGAGAAAAATAAAAAAAAGAACCTTGTATATGGGTAATAAAGGGAGAATAAAGTTGTTAAATTATTGAACTATATTATTCTGAAGAGGATGTTTCTGTTTATCATAGTATGACACCGGAACTCATGAGTAATCAAATACATTCATTAGTAGAATATGAAAATTCCATTTTACATTCAAATTTTTTTATTTGTATAAAACAAATTTAATTCAAATATGAAAATTATGTAAATACGAAATAAATTGATTATTTCTTTTATTTGATAGTGGACAGAAATATCTTAGTTTAAAACATTAATTTCAAATAAATTTTCTTTTTAAAAACTGATATATATGTATTTACTATAAGGACAAATTTTTCAATTGTAAAACAGAATTTTATATTTAAATTTTATAATCTTTTACAATGAAAATCTATTTGATTTTAAAATACATATAGCATGTAAAAATAAAAAGTATAGATTAAAAACACAATAATTTAAGCAATATATGCCTATTACTAAATTATAAGCAAGATTTGTTCATTGAAGAATGCAATTGTAATCAATGGTTGTAGAAGCGGATAGTAACAGCTATCTTAAGAACAAATTAAATGTAACCTGCACTTATTCACTTTTAAATATAACGTAAAAAGAAGTAAAATTAAGACAAATTGCTTTATTTGAAAAAGACAATAAAATAAAAAGTTATAAAAACATTGAATTAATACAGTAATAAGTAAGTAAAGACTGAGTTCAAAGCTAACAATTTCCAATAATATTAACAATATTAGTATAATTCTTGAATTGAAATTAACTATTATATTTGATATAGGTTGTAAGAAGCTACTAATTGAAATAATTCATCATTGCAAAAATATATTACATGTTGATGATTAATAGTGTTTGAGAATAAGACTCCGTTTAGTAAGGCAATAAAATATCTGACAAGTAATGTCATGAAAATTGTATTTAAGACTTCAAAACTTTCCTGCTCATAATTATTTGTACTAGTGTCATAAAACATCTGGAAAACTCTAGCGGAACGTGCTCATACTCCCAGTGCAGTAGAACCTAATGGGTTTACTGCCGGGAGAACCCCAAAGTAGATTCGAAACGAATATCAGATATGCGTAAAGCATTGAGTACAAACATTTACTAAAACCCAAAACCCGTACGTGCAACAACATGCAATGACCATACGTGCGCACTCGGCCTTTAAGACAATGCTTGCATTGTTCTTGGCTATGCCACATCTGGTCGATCGTATTGGAAAATTGACCACGCCCAAGCGGACCCTTCTTCTAGCCAAGTCCCAGAGAGGGATGAGGCAACCAAAGAGAGGTGACCAATGGAAAAGGCTCGCCACCTTCCGACACTTTCCCAATTAGCAAATTCGGAACTGAGCCCGGAAGGAAGTGGAAATGAAGGCGTGCATAATCTATTGTGCGACCCAAGATCAACCACTGATTGGTTAATTAATAAAGGAAGAAGGGATCCCAAGTGGAGCGGGATCAGTGAATCATTTTAAGAAGGGACTACGTAATGTACCCTCACTTACTCTTTCCAAATACTTCTTACAGTGAAGGATAAGTCACGACCAACTCTCACGGAGGAGGACCGGAGAGATGAGTCGTTTAGCTAGCTGAGTTTTAATAATAAGTTCTTTCCACTATTGTGAATTAGTGTACAGTTGAATTGATCTCATCAAGACTGGATTGCGTGGGACCTGACCACTTGTGGTCTCACTTGGAGACAAGGAAGAACTGAAGGGTTGCAACATTGCAAGGGAACGTAATAACAAGCCATCGAAGAGAGACTGGAAAATCACGATACACTGCAAGTAAGTCCTTACAGCTAGTACTCATTCTTGATTTCTCGGCTTATGTAGAAGACGGACGGATAAAGTCCAACTACGGAAGCTTCCCGGACATACTCTTGAACAAGACCAGCTACAAAAGCCACATTGGCTTCTCAATCCCTCCAACTACAAGTTGTTCCCGCTACAGATGGCGCACAGCTTCGCATAACCTCCTCCATCTCGGCTCTCTTACGACCGATATTTAAAGGCAACTACACACGTGTTAAGATAAACACAATGGCATTCCAGTGTTCGATCAGAGCACTACAATCATGATAACCTCTTAGTGATAATATTCAATAGATTATAACCTGCTTCATTCATAGTAAATATATTTCAACACCACAAGATTATCAAGAAATATAAAGTTCGTCTGTAATTCACCCTTTTGTAAATCAATTCAAATAAATAGAAATAATAAAGACATGTGTTAATTATTAATCAGTGCATTCACCCTTTACTTGCCCGGCAACCCCACATAACATCTAGTGGGTTTTATTGTTCTACGTTAATTATTGCACGTTTTGGCTGACTAGTCAAATTGTGGGATTATTTTCCGAACAAATAGTAATATTAGTGAATCATTTGAATAATAAACCATACATATAGGCCAATAAGTAAGAGAAAAAACTCATAATTCATTATAGAAACTACGTAAAACTAAATACATAAGAAGCAAATTTTTACAACTAATTTTTAATATAATTGAATGGTACAAATAAATATTGTTTTTAAATAGTTTATTAAAAAATAAATAATTTGAGCTTTATATATTAAATTTAACCTTTATAGTTTATTCAATCCTGATTTATAATGAAATTTATTGTGATTAAAAAAAAAGATACATTTTATAAACATGTGTTTTATACTAGTAATTTATTTATTATTTCTGTTAATAGATTAGTTTTATTAAAGTTTTAAATAACAAATATCCGAATTTCGAGATGTATAAGTATTCAATTAGGTGATTGTGAAACATAGTTTTATGTAATTCCCTAAAAGGAGTATAGAATTTATTTGTGTTACACATAATTTAAGACCATAATATAACATTGTACCTTAAGACTTTCGATAATTTATTTTGAAAAATATAGTAAGTTTTAAATATATATTAATTATTACAAATTTTTATATGTAATTTTCGTTTGATTTTTATTCTGAATAATATAATGGCGTTACATCATATATAACAATACATATAATTCAGATGGATTAATAAAAGATGTTTTAAATCTACTTTATCTTATAAAAATTGCTTACTAAATAATGTTATTATCAATCATTATACGTTTGAAAATGTAACCAAGTTTTCAATTTTATTTGTTTCTGATTTATTGCAGAAATATAATAATTTTAATAATCAACACGTTTGTGATGTATGCACAGGTTACTCTATATTATCATATATATCAATATATCGGTCAAAACCGCTGATTTGTTTATAAATAATAAGTGGTCAGCGTCTTAGTTTGGTTCCTGTATAAAATCGAATATTGTATCAGCTTAAATCTATAAAATATTGATAAATAAAAATCAGACAGGAGTGCGTATTTAAACATTTAATTTCTATTAAGTTTTTAATGTATAGTATATATTATCAAATACAGAGAGGCGCTTACTTTATTTATCACTTATGGTAGCAGTTTTAAGTTATATAAAAATAACTATTGCAATCATAAATTAGTGAATGAAATGTTCAAGTATCTATTAATGTCGAATCAAGTTATTTATCTTTCTTTCATTACTCTTGCATTCTTTTGTAAATTACTTAGAACTTTTTCAAGAATATTTTTTTAACAAAACAATACTTTTCAAAGTTTTACTGTTTTGTTTTATTTTCTATCTTTAGATGTTTTTTTATTATATTTTATTGAAACATTGTAGTAGCCTTTAATTATCAGAGTTCTACAAATATGATCTTTGTATATATTTAAAATGCAAATACTATTCTTTTCTTTTGTAACAGACGAATGCAGTTAAGTACTTAACAAATTATAAAAAGTATGAAGTCTTCTTTTCAATTTTATTTTTTGTAACGAATCCCGATGAATTGACTGCTATATTTATGACATTCATTATTATAATTATGGCAAATTATAATTTTATGTTTATTTGAGAATAAAAGAAATTTATACTATAGATCTGTTCATTTTACTCTTGAAGAAATGTCTTGATATGTATATCAAGATAGATTATAATCGTTATTCGCTACATATTTTAGGATAGTTTAAATTCTGTATTCATAATTTCATTCCAAAGGTAATGGAATTTTAATTTAATATTTTTATGGATATGTTTTAAATTATAATATTTAACGGCAATGTTATTTATTGTATGTATAGTGATAAAAGTGCTATCGCCGTTACCTTGAACTTCTGATATTCAAATGAGTTTTTTAAAATATGTACATATTTATATTTTAATACATTACGTCATATCTATAAAAACAGTATCTTAAGTTTTTTTAATTATATATATTATAATTTAACATTATTAATGAAACTTTCACCTTGAATATTTTAATTTAATAGTATTTGCATATTTGCTCTACTTTTTTTAATGTTTAGATAAGTCAGTATTGACATTATTATACATATCTATTTAGTTAATGCATAATTTATATACAATAAAACATTTTCAATAATTAAGTTAAATTATGAAAATAATGAAAGATGTATAAACTGAATTTAATGTATATTTTATTTAGCTACGATTTTTATTTATTTACTATTAATTTCAAGTTTATATATTCATAATTTAATAATAAAATATTGAGAATTAAGTATACAATTAAAACATAGGCTCTAACTTTTGTTATTCAGTAATTAATATTTGATATCTTATACTACAGCTGAATTTAAACATATTTAAAAAGATATAAATTTGATGGTGTTTCATAAATTCAAATTGGATCAAAGATTAATACAAAAGGAATAAATTTTAATAAAAATTCAATTACATTTTCAATATTTAATCAATAAATGTTTAAATTGATTACCTACAAAAAATAATGATGTTACCACGATGAAGTAGAAACTTCACATTATTATATTAAAATTCATTTTAATTAATCTATTATAGAAGTTGGAATAAAAATTATAAACATAGTATTATCTGGTTTATTGTATTTAAAACTGATTCATTTTGATCGCATAATAATAAATCAATATTTTAAATTTGAATGTTTGCCAAAACTGTATATATATATATATATATATATTCATTTCTTTAAAATAAATTATTTTTTAATAGTGACGTTATATTTTAACAATCCATTAATCAATTAAATAAAAATTTCCATAATATTTTATAATATTTATAATCGATTATTTCGTACTGTTATATATGAAATTTATCTATCATAGTGAAATTATTAATTATGTTTAATATAAATGAATTTAATAGTTAATAGTTTTGAAAAAGTTTAAATCTAGATAAAATATTTGATAATTATAAAACAGTATTTGTTAGAAAAAAAAAGATACTGTATGCATATGTGAAACACGCATCTTGAATTACTAAAACTAATATTAACAAGATTACTTTTTTCAAATATACATATTTATTAAAAACATTAATTATTTAATTATTAAATATTTAATATTATTGTATCAATATTTTCTACATTAATAACATTCTTATTTAATATATTACGTCAATCTTTGAAATATTTGTAAATAATAATATATATATTTTTACCATGTATTGGTTATTTTTATAATAAATATTCATTATAAATAATGTAAAAATTAGCATAATACAAATAACTTTATTTGTTCAGATAATTATTTAATAACATATAATTATACTTCTTCTGTATCACTATCAGAATCATCAACTAATGATTGACAAGCTCTTGTTTCTGCTTCTGATTTAATATCTAGCGGAATTTGTTCGTGTTTTCCAAAAGTATGTTTACCTACCCAACTCATTTCAAGTTCAAATTGTTTATCTTTTAATTCATCGTGTACTAAATAAATTATGCGAGCAGCTTCTTTGACAACATCTTTATAATCCATCATAGATAGTTTAAGTTTTTCAATTTCTGTTTTAGCTGCTTGTTTAGCTTTTCCTAGGTAAAGAATTGTATTTTAAATATTCACGATACAATAATATCATATTAATGTATATATTTAATATTTTTTCAACTGTAAAACATTGAAATTCATTTTTATATATTAAGAGTAAGTCGAACAATTTTATAAATAAAAAGAATGAAAAGAAATATTTAACTAAAAATAAATTAATTTAAATATGAAATGCAAATATATGGAACATATATGATCAGATTAGTAATAAAGATTGTATATATGTTGAAAGTATTAATTTTTAAACAAAAAAGAATATAGTTGTATAAAATTGAAACATTTTTTTAGTATATAAAACTATATTTTAATTTTGATTTATGCATTTGTATGTATATATAGTCAGTATAACGAAATAATTTTTAAATTTGTATTTAAATTCTATTCAGAAAATATAAAAATTATTTTACCAATTGCACAACCATAATATCCATAAGAAACTCCAGATGGATCAATCATATACATTTCAGCATTGTTATCTTGATAAGCACTAAGAATAATTGAACATCCATATGGTCGAACTGCTGAATATAATGTGTATGCATGCATATACATAGAAATTCTATTATTTAAGTATTTCAATGGAATACCAACACCATATTGAGCTCGATAATTAGCTGCTTCCAATCTAGCTGTTTCAACAATTTGGCGTGCATCAGAAATTAGCCCTGAAATAGCCATACCAATATGTTGATCAATATTAAATGTTCTTTTGTTTGTAAATGGCTCATATAATTTGGATGTGATTAATTTTTCAACAGCAAATACTACAACATCTTTTCCTTTAAGTCCTATTACTGTTCTGTGAAAAATAGGGAACATATCTATTTAATAAGAGATAATGTTTAAAACGATATGTGTATATATACCAGCCATTACCGAATACAATAAAATAAATTTTTTAATTTATAAAAGTATTTAAAATAAATGCAAGATCGAATATATTAGTACAACAACATTTATATATATATATATATATATATATATATATATATATATAAGTCATTTAATTTTATTCACGATATTTTTATGTCGTATGGAAAATTGCCTCATTTCATTTGCGATTCACCCCAAAAAGTTTATTTAACTATACTATTGTATTTTCTACAAGATATTTGAAGGAAAATCACACTGTATAATAGAAACAGGTTGATTGGGTTTGATGAAATATTGTAATTTTTAATACGCCTATAATACACCTTCTTTAGGGAAGAACAATAGATGTATGAATTTTTTCGTTTTATTTTAGTTAATACAAATTCAATTAATTATTCAGTCAAAAAATATAAGATGCATAGTGAAGAAATTGATTTAAATTTGTCATTATATACTTGTAACTGCTAATATATTACATACTATGAAAATATAACTTTCAACTATATTGAGTGAGAAAGGTATTAATGTATATGATTCTTACTTTAAAATATGAATGGAAATAATAATAAAATAAAATAGATATAATTGCACATAAGTGCATTATTTCATTTACTTCATAATTATAATAAATGAGCATCAACACTACTTTTATTATAAGTAGAATCTGATAGCTTTTCTAGTTTAATATCTTGCTTACACTCAGTTGTATTATATATAGTATATTAATTATTTTTAATAAAAAAAGAAAAACAAATGGTATTTGTTTATAAATATAGATAAATTGACTATTTATTCTTAATTAACTTTATGTTAAGTGGAACTCGATAAATTCTATAAAATTCGGGTCATATATTATCGTTAATTTAATTAAAAGATCTGCATATTGCTTAAAATTTAGAAAATTATGGTACAAATAACAATACTTTTATATACAGATCAAAAATAAAAATAAAAGTGCAGATTTTGTATAATACATTATTAAATAATGCTCTTTAAAGAATATTAAATATATAATTTAAATGCCATTATTGTAATGATCATTGGCAGATTTACACAAAATAATAATGAAAATACGATTTAAATAATATTAAACAATTACTTTTTTGTAATGAAAATTATATGATTTAAGATGAGAAAGAATTTTTGTTCATACTTTAAACGTCACTAAATTTTCAAACATATTTTTCCTTTTTAAAAAATGAAAATTAGTAACCGAATTTGTCAAAAGATTATTCTAAATTGATTTATATACAATTTTATATTATTCTTTATAAATAAATATGTAAAAATTTAATTTAAAATATTTAAAAAAATCTTTTTTTTCTATAAGTTCATTTTTTTGGAAAATTATTCAATATACAATGCTTTGTAAATCTTACATTTAACATAAAATAAATTAAAAGTTGAAGATTTATTTTTATTAGTAAATTAAAACAAACCAGTTTTGAGATTACTACAAAGCTATTTTAAAAACTAGCTGTATGATTTTATTATTTTGTACAATAAAATATTTATTATTTACACTTCCTTTAAAAGTATATAGTTTAAAAATATATTACGTCAAAAATAAAGCATGTTTATTTCATAATTGCAAAAAATTTGTTATTTCATAGTCTGTGATTAAATATAATCTCTTAATTAATGATAGAATTTAATGTATTGATATTTTTACAAATTTAACATTGTTATATTGTATAATAAAAATATAATTTAGTTTATATAGTAAACTTATTTCTAATGTAGGACACTGCAAAATTGTAAATAAGCACTAATTATTTTCATAAATATATAATTTTATATTGTCAATAAATATTGTTTTGATTGTATACTTTAAATAAATCATTTACTAATACTTACTATTTGATTGCTCTGCAATTAGACAATTATATAAAATTTTGTAATTGTATAATAATCATTGAAAATATAATTTTTATTTATTCTAATTCCTTTACTAGTGTATTTACATTGTCTAAAATTCTTGATAATAATTTAACTATGATATTAATTATATTAAAAATTTTAAGTTTAGTACATATTTTGAATTTTTATTATATAATTTACCTTATTTTAAATATTTCATATTTTCTTTTTTTTTTATTGTATTAATTTAATAATTCTTCTATCCTTATCCATTTATTGAGTTTCTACAAAATTCTTAATTCTTTTATGTTTACTTAAATGGTTTGGGTTCTTCAATTAGTCAATATCTTATTTACTGTATGAAAGTAGGAATATTTGCATACAGTCAAATACATCCTACTATCTTGATTTTAATTTTATGCAGCTTTGAATATCGTAGTATTTATAATATATTCAGTTTTATTCAAACTTGTTTAAAGTTTAATATACATACATATTTTAAAGTAATCTTTTATATAAACGAAGTGTAAATTTATCTAAATAGATATTCGTATTTAATGAAGATCATGAATTGTATTGACATAAATTCCATTCAATAAAATGTATCTCATACAATTTCCATTGACCACTTAATAAAAATACATAGATACAGTGATAGTGAAATTATGTAAATACATGGGGAAGGTTTATTTATAGGATTATGTTGAAATAATCATAATATTTGATAAGCTTTAATTAGAAAACATTAAAAAATGTATTTCAAATTTTAAGTATCTATCAAAGTTTTTAAAATAAATTCAACTTAGATTATTTCAAAAAGGAAAACTTATAAAAACATTATTCAAAATGAAAAATAAATTGAAAAATCTAAATGTTAAACAATTCATAAAAACGTTATTTAATGTTTATTAAATAATCATATAATAAAGTTTATCTATCTTTTCTTATAAATTATAAGAAGAAATATAGTTAATTTAAAAGTCCATTAATATAAAAATTAAATGAATTAATTTTCTGTCAATATATAAAAAGTTTATAAAGTATTTCTTTGCATTCAAATCATTAAAACACTTTGATTCATTCAAATTAACAATGGTTAGTTTAATTTTATTTCCATTTCTTTATATTTTTTACAAAAAATCTCTTAAGCAGTGTATGATAACAAAAAATTCAATTAAATGATATATATCTTATAAATATATACCAACTTTTTTTTATATACTAAATAGTTATTTCCATACATGCTTAATTTTTAAAATTCTGACATTTGACTTTAAAAATTTATATGTATTACATAATTATTACAAAATATAAAAAATTTAAATAATTCCTTCTTGTTCTTTAAGTATTAAATACATCGTTTACTGATATTATATTTTTTTAAGTTTTTACAATTGATTTCATCTACAATTTAGACAATAGACAAAAAGATAGTTAAATAGTATACAAAATAAATTTGGTGCAAATTAATAAATATATATATTTTTTAACAACTAATACTTTTTTCATAAAAGTATATTTTGAAACATCAGTAGTTTTCTTAAATTATTACCTAAATGATAAATCTGATGATTCAAAATGTTCTAATAATTGTAATATCTAAGAGAATTATCTATATCAAATGATACATTTTTTAAATTGTTACATTTTAATTTCAAAATTAATTTTTATAATGTAATACTTTTAATAGTAACATTACCTTATTCTGAAATAATTTCAATACAGTATTTCAAGTATATTTAAGAACTCTCAATTCTTTACTTAGGTCTTACATACTTGTAATTTTTTATCATAATAATAGATACATATGTATACATATAACCATTTACAAAAAATTTGTATGAAAAAAAAACTGGTCTCTATTTACATCAAATTATTAAAACATTTTAATAGTATAACTTTTTTTGCTATTTATAAGTAATATTATATTTTATAAAAAATTTATAAAGTTTATAAAATAGTTAAAAATATTTTCAGTGCTTTATAAAAATAAATATTTATAAGTTTGAATTCAAGTTAGTTATTTTTATAAACCGTATAAATTTATAATGTATATGTACACATATATTTTCTTTACTATTTGTGAAAAGTAAATAAAACATATATTGGAATAAAATTCTACGTTTCAAGATATTGTGTAGTAATCGATAATTATCTGTTAAAGTAAATGAAGTAAGGTTATGTTATAAAATTTTTGTAACTATTTACAATGAAGGAATGTAATGGATAAAATAAAGCTGTAATTTTTTTTAAGAATCTATACTAAAAGTTTATATATCTAATAAATAATAGTAAAAAGACAAAATATATTATTTGTATATTCTAAAGTAAACAATATAAAATTATTTCCACTGCATTGAATATAATATAAAATAAATAATTTATTTAAGTATACGATTATAGTGTGATTAGATGATTTACAAAATAATACTTAAGTTTGTTCTTAATTATTTTTCTAGACCAGTATTGATAATAATACTATTAATAATAAAATTTAAAAAATGTAGAGGATATGTACCATTGTTATTTTTACTTTGATATACAAATGTCTTACCCACTATTTTCAACAGCTTTTTGTGCATATTCAACTTGAAACACTCGCCCATCTGGTGAAAATTGAGATGCTGATAAATCGTACTACAAATATTCAAACAAAAAAAAATAGAATAGAATTTCAATAAAATAGGTTAACGATAATATATTATTACCCCTGTTCCAATTGAACTCATATTGAAGTATAAAAGAATTTGAATAAGAAATAAAAACAAATAATGATTAATAAATATTTAAATTATTAGGATAATTTTATTAAATATTTTTTAAAATTCGTAAATAAATTTAGAAACTAGTATTATGAATGATTAAGCAAAATTGTAGATTCAAGAATGACAAATCACAAATATAAATGGTATACATTCATTTACAAAATGCGTCAACAAGGTCTAAGCTTATTGGCCCGTTCATAAACGCGCAATTTTCATTGTGGGTACTTATAAAATTTTCAATCAAGATTAATAATACCAATATATTATTTAAATAAATAATTATTAAATATTTTTCATTTATATACAATACCGAACGTAAAATAATTAATTAATGTATTATATGTATAATATATAGCATGTATTATTATTATAAATTTTTACTATGATCTTTTATATTTTAATAAGGTTAATAAAAATAAAATTATTTCTAGTAAACTAACGATATATAGTGCATCATTGGGGCATTAAGCATATATACCTTAGATAAATGCTTTATCTATATTATCTATATGAAACCGCTGTATACATTATAGTTTTAACTTATTAATGTTTGTAAGGATTTGCTGAAAAAATGCTCGAAGGATTTTTAAAAGATTAAATGTGATTTTTTTTTAATTTCAAATATTCAAATTTTAATAATTTAAACTATATGCTGTAAAAAGTAATAGAAAATATAAAAAATTCTGTATACATATAAGTTGAATAAAAAATTTAACATTTAAAAAAAATGTTCCACTATTGAATCGATTTCAAATCTTTCTTCGTAATACCGAATTATTTTATACACTTGAACATTTGAATTCAATTTAAAATTTTTTATATTTGTTTTTTATAAACTTATAATCTGTATAAGTAAACATAAAATATTATTTTCTTTATCATTTGTATAAAAAAAATGAAAATGATAAAAAAAAGAAAATGTATTCAAATGTTATATATAATTTAGGATTTTGCATAAAATTCAAATTTTTCTGTTAAAAAATTGTATATGATTATTCAAATCATTAATTTAAAAACAAATAGCAAAGTAGGTTATACATCTTCTCTTTCTTTTAGGTATAAATTTAAGTTATTTGACTACATCCTCAATGGAATTAAACTTAGAAAATCCACAAAATTTACACTATTTCCCCTCTAATTTTTTGACTCTTAAATTATAAATATTCATTTTTTATTTTTTCTTTATCATACAACAAACTATTGTCTCTATTCTAATATATCACAGCCCTTATACATACTGTGATAAGTACACTCCATTATTGTACTGTGTTTGGATCTGTATAATTATATAGCTCTATTTATAAAATTAGATTTAGTTACTGTGCCTTCACATATTTATAAGCATTAGATATACACATTGCATTTTATTTTCTATTTAAATGTTTATATTATATATCTTATTATTTTATCTAATACAACTATTCATTAATTTACTTATTCTTGTTCCCTTAGATATTAGATCTCTGATTCACCCAAAAGATAAATTTAGAGTGAAATAAGAAGAAAAATAAGATTTTGATAAAAATTATTCAATTAAAATTAAAGCCTTACTATAATATAATACAACTTAGGAGTTTAAAGATATTAAATAGTGAAAAATTACTAAAAATTATAAAAATGAAAACAATATAAATTTATTAGTATAGAAATAATCTAGTTCTATTAAAATATATTTGAGTTTGCTAGAGAATATAAAATATTTATATTAAATTAATTTGTATTGTTTATACACTTCATATATGCAAAATAAAAAAAAGCATATAAAGCATTAAATAAAAGTTTTTTTTATACATAAATATTTGAATATAGAATTAACGGCGAAATAAATTGTTTTAAAATGTAAATTTATTTTCTATCTGTCATAATAAACAGTTTAGATAAATTATTAAATATTTATATAAAAAATACAACTTTAATGAAGTTTAAATTAATAAATTTATAAACAAATGTATTTTTCATAGTTAGAAGCATTGAATAAATTGTTATTCATGTTGTATAAATTACATCTAAAATATTTTAATTTAAAGTTATGTTTTTGAAAGCAACTATTTTCTTATTGCATCAGACAATTTTATGTCCAATTAGAATTTACTATTTAAGTGAAGGTTATCGTTAATTACAAATAAATATGTTTACTAATCAATCAGAAAATTAATATATTTAATAAAAAGTTATTTAATAATTTAATACACAAGAATTATATTGTACTCTATGAAATTAATTCTGTAGATTTAAAAATCTTTTTTGCTCTATAATTATAAAATTAGTATAAAATTATTTATGTGAAGAAAAAATGTGTATATGGGTATCTTGTTAAAATATTAACTAATGACAAATATTATACTGTAATATCCTTATTTGATTTTTTTTTCCATAAATACTTTGGTGTCATTATAAATGAATATTTCAAACATTGATAGTAATTTCTGATAACAGTTTAATGTACTTAATATCAACATTTAACTAACTCTATTTACTAGCATATTATTTAAATTACATTTCTCATAAAATTAATATATTGCTTTATTTTATTTTCTAATTTTATTGTCAAGTATTTTTAGTTAATTTTTCATATACCAGATTAATGTGCACATCCTTAATAGCTTGGATTTGTATCAATTACTAGTTATTTAATTAACTGATAATTGAAAGTTCTTCACAAGAAATAAATATATAAACATATGTATATAAGTCTGGTTAGCAGTAAAATTTAAATGCAGACTTTACTACATGTGCCAAAATGTAGATTATCGTATGAGATGTTCATAAAAAAAATATACTTATAATGTTACATATATAACGAGATTAAAAAATTATATGTGTGCGAGAATCTGAATACTGAACTTAAAAAACAATTTATTCAAATATGATCTTTAGTCAGTATACATAGATATTCTGCTCGACACTCATAATTTTTACTATACAGCATGTAACTACAATTTAATTATTAATTTTTAATAGTTTTTACTACATAAAAATTTTATTTATGAAATTTAAACTGCACATAAAACTAAAAAATTAGAGAGAATGTATTATTATTTTTATAATTATAATAAATTGAAAAATCAGAATTTATTTTTCTTCGCACCATTCATTTTCCTTACGTACTTGTTCTTCTTCAGAAGCAGTAAAATCATTTTTAATGTTAAAAGTTTTACGTATTTCTTCAGGAGTTTTTCCTTTAATCATATTTGCAACTGTTTTACAAGTAACATCAAGAAGTCCTTTAATATCCAAATAATTTGCTGCTAATATCAATTCAAATAATGTTCCTTGGTCAACCTAAAAAAGAAGTTTCATAAGATATTTAATATAATTAAATTTGAAAAGTAAAAGTATAAAATCATAATTATTATTAAAAAAAATCTGATAAAATTCAGTATTTTCAATACATTAAAAATTTTAACATTATAATGCATTACGGATAGGAGTAAAGTACTTCTAATAATTAGATTGATAATTAAAATTAAAGTAAAATTAGGGAATTTTGGATTTTATTTAAAATTCTGTTTGTTATTCATATATAATAAGTAGATATTTTTGTATGTAATGTTTATTAAAATTATTTGTAATTATGTAAAAAATTAGAATAGTTAATATTACACAATAAAATAAGGTCTACTGTAAAGTAGAGTCAAAATCAATTTAAATAAAGGACTTATAAAATGAATCCTATTAATAATAAATGTGTATTATGTTAGAAATTACAGCAGTTGCCAGTTTTTAATTTAAATAACATAAATAAAAAGAGGCCAAAAGCATCAATGCAAAAGCAATTACAATGTAATAATATTATAAGAAAATAAAAATGAGTAAACATCGATTTGTCCAAATAATCATACACCAAATATAAGGATCTTGACAAAAGGAAGTTATTAATTACAAGTTCAACTATTTTAAAGTTGAAGAAAATAGACTAATAAGATACTAATAGAATATCATAAATTTAGTATCAAATACATGTATTTTGGCAGATATGAGTTATCAGTAATGAGTTTCAATTAATCGTATAAAAATTAATAACAGACAAAGATATTCATGATACATAATTAACCAAGTCCATGCAATTATTTGCATTCTGTAATAGTAGATATTTTATTGATAATGTTTTAAATACTTTTTTAAAACTTTTTTTTTTAATAGCAAACATTTGTAGTACAAAGTTTTCTATAAGTTTTAATATAATTTTTAGATTGAAAATTTATAGCAATAATAAAATCTACAGGAGTTTGCAAATGAGCCTCTACATGTAATCGTAACTTTTAAAGTAGTAGAAATAATTGTGACAGCTGTAAGATTTGATAGTATATTATATCCACACATAAATATTGTATACATTGTAGAAAAGTTTAATAACTTTATAAAATGGAAGATACAGATAATCAAAGGAAGACAGCTAATGTATCAAAAGATAAAAGGATAACCAGGAGCCAGGAAAGCTATAGAGATAAATAAAAACAAGTGTGAAAATATATGCTATAAATACTAGCAAAAATATACATAGTTGTCTTTTTGATGTCTAAATTTATAAATACGGTCGGTACTGTTGTGGATATTCGGATGGAGTGGTGCCATATCGATTAGAATATAGTTTTAGTCAAAATTTAATTAAAATTGCCTAAATGATATATTGTCATTAAAAATGCTATTCATGATTTGTAAAAATTATTTGCAAATATCTATAAAACATAAAATACCTTCAAAAAGTCAGCATCCCATGAGCTAATGTCATCAGTTCTTTTTTCTTTATTTTCATCATCTTCAGGAGGTGGGGGGTCATCTTTATGGTATGTAGCCCACTGGATGACTTTTCGAAGAATAGCTGAATTAACGTTTGGTAAAGGTACTACCTCTTCTTCATCTTCATCCATGCCTAAATCTTCTAACATTGTTTTAATAGTAACAGAACATTTAGCTATATCGACATCAACTTCAAATACCTCTCCGTCAGAACTTTGTAGCTTAATGTTTGGCATCTGCATAGAAATGATTTATATTTCACACTTAATAAATTTTAATTATCTGTAGTTTATTATTATACAAAACAAAACTATTATAAAAAGTACATTATCCGTATAAAAGTAAAACAAAATAAGATTTTTAAAATGAAGAGTTTATTAACAATATGATAATGTATAACAAATATATCTTCATATATAATTAATATTTAATTTAATGTAGTTCAATGAAATACATTACAATTTTTTTTTCATAAATATAATTAGTGTAATACACACACGCAAAATCGCCAATCATTAGCATGAAATTGCAGGAGGAAATGATGCCAAAAAGATGTATGTGGTATAATTAATATACATAAAACATTGGATTAATGTAAAACTAGCAAACAATTATGATTGAAAATACTGGTGTGATCCACAAATGCAAAATATAATGTGGAAGTTTTCTATTTGTCGTAAAGACAATATAAAATAAGATTCAAAATCAATGCAAAATCTTTGACTGTACAGTAACGATAAAAGTATTTGCAATTGGAGCTTATTAGATTAACAATATACAGTTACGTTAATTTAAATATGATGTATATTTAAATATCAAGAGAGTATGAGAAATATTCATGAATACATAATAATATATATAGAAAAGAAAATAACTACAAAAAAACAAAATAAATATTTACCTCGTCTTCTCAGATATTGTTATCGAAGACCGTAGTCAATGAAACGACTAACATAAAAAGAGAATATCAAGTTCCAACAATTTTTAGTTCCTCTTATAATTTCATTGCGCTGGCCAAGTACCTCTAATAATACCAATGGAAAAACTAAGCTTCTGTGTGTGCTCGTTTATCTTCCATTCAGATTTTAGGGCCATAGAAGAAAGTTCGATGTACCTGTCTACAAAGATAAAATACTTTGTAAGTTGTAGAAGACACAGTTATATATCATTTTTTATCTGAAGATATATTATGAAATATTTCTATTTCAATAATTGCTTTCAAGGTACTTTACAAAAATACATTACGTGTCACTACTAAACTCTTAAAGATTTTTAAATATATGGTGTGAAGTATGAAAATTAATAAAACAGAATTGAGCAATTGTAAAAACTACAGTAAATTAATTTTAAAAATTAGTGAACAATTTTCTATAAAAAAGAAATAAATTCAAGTAAATTAAATAAGATAGATAGATTCATAAATTAATATATCTTTAATAACTTACTCTGAGAATTAATTTAAAAATGATTGGCTTATGTATAAATATTTTAGATGCAATATTATATTTGTTACAATAACTGCGTGTTACATTTTTTATTTATTTATGCTTACATTTTTATTAGATTTGGATATTTATAGACTATAATGTAGTCAAATTTCTCAAAACTATTTTAAAAATAATAGAAAATTAAAAAAAATAATGTATATAATGTAAAATAATGTATTTGCATACAAAAAATTATTAAATTATTACATCACTTTTTTTAAATGTAGCAATTAACACAGAAATCATCTCATTAAAATTTAACTTTTGTAATTTTGTGAATATAAATTTCTTTTATTAAATGAATTAAATTTAAATTTTTTGCTCAAATGCAATACCAAATTTATTTTATACATAACTTAATAGTTTTGTATTTATATTATTTTATTACTAATCATCATTTATTTAAAGTTATTTGCTAATAAAAAGTAAGTTTGGATTTTAAAAGTTCTTTTTATTAATCTCTATCGAAATATTGTGGAGAGGCTGTTTTATTATAAGAGAGAGAGGGAAAAAGACAGCCTCTCCACAAATTGACATTTTCGATTTTAGATGTATCAGACATTCAAAAGTTGGATAAAGATTAATAACAAAATAACTTTTTAAAAATGCGAATATATATATATTAATTCTTTGATTTTATAATGGCGAATGAAAAAAATATACATATTTACGTGGAACAGTATTGTGTCATTTAATTGTTAGAGAGAATTGAAATTGTTTTAACTCTTTGAACTAATGTTATAAGAAAATTGTTATTATGTGCTATTACGTAATAAGGAAAAAGAATCTTGTCTGCTCTGATACATTTGTATTATATAGAAACAAGTGAATAATATACTAATTATATTACAAAAGGATGATATAACAAAAGAAAAGTCTGTGAAAATAATATTAGTGTATTAAAAAATTTAATATCCAGTTTAAAATATAATATATAATAAATTATAATATATACAGTATATAAATATAGTAAATTTAATGTAAGTCTAATAGTTAGATGAAAGTAATCATATGATAGCATTCATGTTTTTTTTTATATAACTGATTCATTTAAAACGATCTATTAAATAGTTAATAAGATAATTTTTTAAACTTTAAATTAATACACTAAGTTATATAAATCGTTTATACAATTTAATATATAAACAACATAATAGATATAAAATTCACTTTTTCCTTATTAGCTTAGATTTTATATTAGACATAAACAATATACTTTGTATTGTATTTTTAATATTTTTAAAACTGTTACGAGTTATTTAATAATTTACATGAATGAAAAAATATAAATTTTTAATAAGATAATAATTGATAAAACTAATACAAGTCTTCTGTATATTTTATTGTTATATACATGAGTAGTTAAAATAAGTCTTTAAAGTATATGCAAATTTCTGAATTAATTAAATAATGTGATTTATAAATAATCTTGTTCAAATTAAAAAGTGTAATGTAAATAGTTGTCAATCTGTAAGTATGTTAAGAAGTATTTTATTTTACGAAATTACGGCATAATTTTGTTAAAATTTTAATAAATCTTTATATTATTTACAATTAATATTATTTAGAGTTATAAATACACATAATATGTAAAAAGGTTTTTTATTGAAATGATTTATTATCTTTAAATTATAAAAATAGTGTTTCATAAAATATGTTCTAAATATGAAAAATATAGAAATCTAGATTATAGAATACCATCTTTCCTAATGCAATATGATTAAAAATAAAAAATATAAAAATGGTATATCAGAAGCATTTATCAAAAAAATAGTGTAACAAATTCATTGAAGTAATTTTTATTACTTTTAGACTATTTGGTGTGTACATCTTGTTTTTTATTTTTGCATCAATTATGAATGTAAATACTTTATACATGTATATATAGATACATATAGTCATGTACAGATATATATTGACTTACAGTACTTTAGTATTAATATATTTATAGTATTTATATTATATTTATATTTAGGGTATTCGAATCAAATTATACAGAACAAAAAATATCTTTATCAAAGAAAAAATCAAATAATATATTAGGAAAGAATGAAATAATTTAACTTTTAAACTACATATATAAAGTTATACTGAATGCTCGTATCCTGAAATAATATTTACAAATTTTTTTGTATCTTGTATTTGTAAAACTTTTTATTTTTAGAATTCTACAGAAAAAATTAGAAAAAATTTTCCTTAAGATTGAATTTTTTTTGTTTGATACAATAATATAAAATAAACTATTCAAAATGAAATAAACTGTAAAGTATTAATATTAAAAACCATTTATGATTGATCTTAAAATATCACACAAAATAGAATAATATTAAATAAATAGAATATTTATGTAAATTTATATAATAGTGCAGAAAAGTTATTTAAATAGGTCCAGTTTTTCAATTCTTTTATTATAAATAACGTTTGTTAATAGCTACAAAGATAGAGAAGATGAAATATGATGTTTGAAATGTAATACTTTTAATCATAAATAATTCAAATAATTCATATTAAACATAATAATTCTCCAATAATTCAAAATGTTACATTCTTTTATTATAAGATAAAATAGATTAAGTAATTTTACTTTTTATTTTAAAATTTTTTTCATTTATACATAAGTAAATTTTTGTAGATAGGACTATTTGAACATTAATTTTAAATAGATTAAATTTTGTTTCAACTTTTAAATTTATTCTGTTAACAAGATTTTTATATATTTCAAATTCTTTTAAATTTACCTTACTAATAATTTGTTTTAATTTTAATTTTAATTTAAACTCAAAATCAACTCAAAATTATATAATATTAAAAATAACATAAAATGGCATTAGATAAGTATATTATGGAAATGGTTATACTGAAGTATAGAATGTTTAAAGTATATTACAAGCAATATTATTAATTTATTAGCAAAAGTGAATTTTGTGCAAATTTTTAAATATTGAAATACATGAAAAAAATGGGGTCTTTAAATGGGATCTACAAAGGATATACCTAGGCGTTAATCAATTTTAATTTTCTAAGAATTGAAGATTAATTATATTTTTAAATAATCTTCATTTGTTAACAATATTTAAAATATTAAAAGTACATTAAACAATTCTTCATGTGATAACATTTTATAAAATTTATAGATTTAGATTATATAAAATTAATTTTTTATATTAAATTATCGATCCAAAATATATTCCAACAAAAATATTTGTATTGTATTTTAAAATATGCAACGGAATATTAATTCATATATTTATTTTTATAATATATACCTTTTTTAAGAAATAAATGACTAACTATATGTATCAATTTAAAGTTTTTAGAACCATATATAAACTTAAAATGTTTTTTTATATATAGTATATTATTATATGCATAATGGAATATTTTATTCCAATATTTGCTTATAATAATAAAACTGTACATAAGTAGATTTCAATTACAATATGTAAAGTCTATATAATAGATCTATATAACAGTCTAAGTCTATATAATACAAACTATTCATGCATATACATCAATATCATTCATTGAAAACATAAACAAAATAAGTATCACAGTTCTACGTTAAGAAATTTCTAATAGATTTATTCTAAGTATATGTAATAAATTTATTCTAAATTAAAACAAATTTCAATTTAGAAAATTTAAAGGACGTAATAAATTAATTTCAAAATTACTAATAGTTAATAATTGATTAACAATTAAACAAATGAAGTGTTATGTATTTATGAAACCTATGTCTTAGGAAATGGTTTTTGAACTTAAGTCAAACATTATGTGATTATCAATATCAATTATATAATTTTCAAATAATTAAAAATATATACATAATTATTCTGAGAAATTTTAATTTTATTTAGAAATCTGGAAATAATTATTACAATTTATTTTAAAATAATGACTAATAATTTAATTGATATAAATAATTTACAAGCAAATAGTATATAAATATAATGCTATCTACGGATTATAAATAATTACTAAAAAAGATAGATTAATATATTAAGCCATAAATGTGAAAAAAAATATGAATTTTATCATTGTAATAAATATTTCTGTTTAAAAATTTAAATATTAGCATCTAAAATGTCATTTTCATTATCGTATTGATTTTTTATTACTTTGTTAAGTATATATTTAATTTTATAATACAGTTATTATTGTGCTATGAACATTTTTCAAGCATCAAAATAAAAATGATCAAATCTTTCTTAAAATATGTAAAGACCAATCAATAAAAAGAATGAATATTATATTGCTTTTATTTGATAAACATTCTATAGAACTATTTTATACACATATAATTAAATTTCTTAATTAAAAATATACAATTTTAAGATCTCTAAAAATATTGAAGTACAAATAAACATTCAATTATTTAGCAATATAATGAGATTATATAATTTGATTCAAACACATATATATAAATCATATGATACAATGCATTGGTATGGATACAATGCAATCAATATTATAACTTCAAGTAAATAAATAATTAAACAGACAACTACTTTTATATATTTTAAAATGTATACAAAATAAATTCTATAAAATTTGTAATATTAATTAAAAATAGATTTTTTATATTTCATGTAATTAGAATTTATTATATAGTAATAAATTTTAAAAAAGTAATTAAATATTTAATAACATAATCACGAATCAATTTTTTCATAAAAAGAACTTTCAAAATATCATCAATTATGTATAATATACATATTACCATAGCATTTATTGTTTAATAAAAGCAAAATTTACTAATTATTTTAAAATTATTAATTATTATTATTATTTAAAATTAATTATTTAAAAATTTACTATTATTTTTTATCTAATATGTTAATAAAAAATGTTTTCATAGCATCTATTGTTTATATTATCTTTAAATATTCTTTTAAAGTTTATATTTTAAACATATGATGAAACTAATAAATTTTCAAATTTATTTACTTATATTATTTCAATTTACAAACTGTAACAACAAATTAAAGTTTAAGTAAAATTAAATTATATAAATGCACATATATTATATAGCACTAGTTATTTATTAGAAAAACTGTCCTAATAACATATTAAAATAAAATAGAGCAGTAAAAGAGTGAAGTTGATTAAAGTTGTGTAAAAAAATATTTTAAGAATAAATAATTCAATTAACATTTTATATAATATAAAAATTGTTTGTAGTTGTATAGTAATAAAAGCATTATTTTTTTTAGTAATCAATATTTGTCAATTTGTTATATTTAATAGATTTTAAGAAATAGTTAATAAAAGTATATTGATTACATAAATAATATATTTTACTTACAAATTTCGACAAGCAGTTCAGTCAGAAATAGAACTTTTAATTTATTATATAATATACTGAAAGTACAAACAATAAATTTAGACAAATATATAAAGAGATCATAGTCGATCTTATATTAAAAAGATAGTCAAGTGTCAGTCGTTACGAACCTAGCGGATTTTATACAAAACAAATGACGTGTTTTCAACAATGTAAATCAATTTCGACAAATATACATTATTTTAATATAAAACCTTTTGGTATATGTTTATTATTTTATAATTAAAATTAAATAATATATTTTGGAAATAATATTAAATTTCGGCTGTACATAATACATACGTTTTTAAATCAATTTAATTTAAATGTAATATATTTTTATAGAAAATATATTATTAATTTGAGAATTTAAAGTATCTTGTTAATTTGATTCATAGTTATAATTTTCTTGTTTTCATTTTTGTCATAAATTTTCTTTAAAAGCAATAGTAGAATAATTAATTGAAGCTATATATTTTCTTATTCTAAACATTGAATATAAACATAACATAATACACAGTATTCATTTTCGGTAGAAGTTATATATTACTTTTAGTTTACAATTTCTTTCAAACGTTCAAACTTATACATGTACCTTTCCTTACATTTCAAATAATATAATCATAATAACTCAAAGGATGTACAAGTATTATGTAGACGAATAAAAGTTTGAATAAAATAATAAAATAAAAAAAATCATTCTATCATAAATAATAAATATTTCGTTATAAATTTAAATAAGATATTCAAATAATGTAGGAGTACTTGCAAATATATCAATTCATAGTAATAATCGATCTGCCAGTCTTTTCAATGATTCTGAATAAACAATTTATAAAATTAACCTACCGAATTAGCATATTTAGCCAATAGGATTGTGAAATGTATTATAGAAAAAGAGAGAGATTAACCAATGTATTTTCTAAATTGATGAAGTAAACTCAAATGGTAATTACTCATATTGTATAATTAATACGTTAAGATGTATAAAACTAAAACTGTTTCAACTGTAAATAGAAAATATTGGCTCCTTGTATAATCATTGAAATTTTACGAGAATTATTAAAACTGCTGAAAACTTTAAATACTGATTGAAATAAGATCTAATAAATTACAAAAGTTTGACTATCAAACAACTGTTTGATACTATTTTTGGTGTAACTAAAATTATTGTGTGGATATTACATTTTTTCTATTAATCTCAGATTATTTAAAAATCAAATAAAAATTTAAGAAGCTTCGAACCTATTAATTTATAAATAGCAATACTATTAAGTCAATATAAATACATAACTATTATGTAAAACCGATGCATCAAATATATTAACATTACAGTTTAAAAACAGTAAGTTAAATCATAAGTAGAAAGTTTAAGAATGTTATTTTAGTAGATTTTTATAGATAAGGAGTTTTCCACTACATATTAAAACAGAAACTTTTTCATTGGAATTATAGAAATTTTCCTTTTTACCATCAATGCCGATTTAAGTAATGTTTTCTTTACTAAAGAAAAAAAAAAATTTGAATGCTCATGCAAAATCTGGAGTGCAAATTTCTTTCTCGGACATGGTTATTTCTGCAGTGAAATCTAGTATCATTGTATACATTAATGTTAATGAGCTTGTAGTATAATATGATATATAGGAATATTCTTTAAATTAACATCGATCTAAAATTTGTTATAATACGGCGCGGTGTGGTAGTATCTACCAAAAAAGATGTGATTAATTATGAACAGTTATGAAAAAAGTAGAAAAGATGTAGTTTTCAGCTCATTATAAAATAATTAAAACTTATGTTAAAATTTTTAATAATCTAACATCAACTTTGTTTATTATTTTCTACATTTTAGTTTTATTACTATTAACAGCCTAATATTTATATTTTAGCTTATAGTATTTTTAATGGACAATTTGATGACCTGTGTGCACATTGAAGTCTACGAGTGGACGTTACAAGCGAAATCAAACAAATATTTAATATAACAAAACTCTGCTTAGTAAAAGCTCTATAAGAGGATAAACTTTATTATAATAAAATAAAAGTAAAGCTCTATATCTAAAAAATATAGTATAAATGTAAAAATCACTTCTTTCTTTATATGTAAAATAAAATTAAACATTACAAAAAAAAAATCTGTCATAGATAAAACAAATTTCCATCATTTTATTATAATAAATGAAGAATAAACGAGAAGAAAATCTATGATAAGAAAATAGAATGAGAAGTGAAGGAGTTTACCAATCTTCTCTAAAAGAAGCAATTTTCTCTTTGATTTTGTAAGCACAATTATATATTTCCTTTAAAATAAATTTTGTTTAATTTAAAAAAAAAATATATATATACATAATAGTTTAGACAATTAAAGTACATGTACAGCAACTAGAAAGATGAAAATTAAAGATGCGAGGATAATCAAATAAATAAGTATATTATACTTCTATTATAAGTATATTATATATATAAGTTTCAAATTTGAGTAAACTTTATAATTTTATATTTTCTTAAATTAAATTATTAATTATGTATTTTCATTCAAATTAATTTTTTATTTAATTATTTTTTTTAATTTAATGAACTGATATAATTTATAGTTAATTAAATGTGTCATTATTGAAATTAAAATGTACTTAAAATAAAATAACTTTTTGACAGAAATCAAATTCAAAATAAGCTAACTTTATAAAATAGTATTAATTATAATAACTGATCAGTTCATAAGTATATAATTATGAAATAATTGTTGGTACTTTCAAGTTTTAATGATAATAGAATTTTGCTTATTTTAATAAGAAAATCAATAGTAAAATTTAATAATGATATTTAATAGATTATTCATTGAACAAGTTTTAATAGAAATAAAATTGAAAAAAAATATATTAATAAAGTTTCCATTAACAGTATAAGTTTTAATTAATAAAAAGCAATTACTACAAAATACATTGATATAATGATTACATTGACACATTGGTACATTGATATTAAGAACAAAAAATTAATTAACTAATTATGTATAGTATTGGTGGTTTTCGTAAGTTTTGAAATTTGATCACATATGCAAGTTAATTGCTCAATTTTTATTACATCAATATTGACAATATATATTTACATTATATATCAATAAATTGTTGTTTTTTATTTTGTAGATTTTTTGTCTAAATTTCGCGTGAACTATATTTTTAATTATTATTTTAAATATAAAGAAAATTAAATAACAAGAATATGTAAATTTATTGTTAAAATATTTTAGACTATTAACTTATAGAAATTGTTTAGAAAGTATTTATAAACTTTTATAAATGAACATTTATATATAAATAACGAATAACAGATAATAGTAATAATAATAATGATGATAATAAAATTTATTATTATTAGTATTATATAATGTAGTACAGTATCGATGGTATTTACATTATTTGTTAGAAATGTACATTATGTAATATGAAAAATGTAAGGTGTAGAAGATAAATGATTAATTTTATACTAAGTTATTGAACTATGAAAGATGTATATAGAAAATATATAACTTAGAAGTAATTAAAAAATGGAAAGTCCTGTATCGATTATTAGTAAAATAGTCATATTGCTTTTTCCACTAAAATTTTATTTTTTATTTGTATTCAATTGTTACGTATATAAAAATTACCACTTTTATTTTTTAAATATAAAATGCATAAACATACAAAACATGTAACAATTTCGAATTAGCGTTATGAGAAAGAAAATTGTACTGATACTAAGTCGAATCGATAAATAGAAAAATTCATGCCTGAAGTATTTTTATTTTTCATACTGTACATATGCATAGTGTATATATGTCGACTATATCAGTTAAATGCAATTTAGTTATAATAAAATATAATTAACCAAACACATTCCATATTCGAAATGGATTAGTACTAATAAAATCACTATATGTTTATCAGGATTTAATTTACCAAATATTCAAAATCTTATTATCTATATGAATCAAAAACTACAAACTTTTCCTTGAAACTATATATTTTATTGGTTCTCGATTGAAGATGAAAACCTATCATTGTTCAAATGTTATGAAGATCTAATTAAATTTATTATAATAGTTAATATAAATGCATCAAAACCCGTTTATTTTATATAATTTTTTTAATTTAAAAAGTATAATTAAAGTATTTTACGGGAAAAGTTTTTAATTCTCATAAAAGAAAACAGTATAACAGCTTCATAAAATAAATACATTTATATACTTGTTATTGCAATTATAATTAAATTTATATTATTTAAAAATTACTCAATTAGACATTAAACATAATTACTTAATATTTATGTTTGATATATCGTTAATTGAATTAAGTAAAAAACACAGAATTAGCAATATCACTATTTTAAAATAATAGATAAATTTATTCATGGGAAATTAATATAAAAGTAATCCATTATTCTTAAGATATAAACAAACGCAGGAACTTATTTAAATTTTAGGCAGAATCAAAATATTTTTAACAATGAACATGCATTTTAATCAGATATATTAATTCCTTTTAAATAAACTATCTGTAAGATATTTAATAAAATATTAAATAAATTTATATTAATTATTTGTAATCAAGAAATAGATTTTAATAAAATTATTAACTTACTAGTGTACTGAATTATTTGTAGGAATAATTATTGCTTATGACTGCTCACGTTAGTTATTGGGGATTTAAAGGTATATTTTATTGCCTGCTGATCTTATGCTTCTATGTTGATATATAATTTTGTATAAGATGAACAACACAATCAGATCAAATTGTTGTAGAATTTGAATTGATGCGTTTGCGTATTTGATATTTATTTACAGCTATTGTTTTCATTCTGCGAATACTTACTTCCGTGGATTTTATTTTTTCATAATATACCTAGACAGATAGTAATATGCAACTAAAAAATTTTGCTAAATATTAGAAATCAACCTATTTCTATTTGAAGCAGCATATGTATTAAGCAGAAAATGTAGTATATTTTAAATTTAATTTTATATGTTAAAAAAATAGATATATATAAATATGAATGGTTTATATAATTAGATTATATAGCTTAAATACAATATTTAACTAATAAATAAAATATTTTTCTAAGTTGGCTAACAATTAGATTGGAAACATTTTTTCGTCAAATTATTCTTTTTATACGAAATATCTTTTTAGTTCAAAAATTTTTAATCAATTTACCGAAAATTTCTGAAGTTAAACAGTAAATTATTTTTCAATGATAATAAACTGTTTATTACATTTTATTTATATTCATTTTTTAGGTATCTTTCATTGTCCATTGCTATTTTACTTATTTATAAACGAATGTGATTACAAAAAATATATCGTTCCACAGTATTTTTAAATATGAATTAAAATGTAATTTATGAAATTATATTACAATATTGAATTTAATGTTAAATATATTAAAGCAGTTCAACATTAATTTAAAAAATATAAATTGTACTGTAATAGTAACAAATAAAACTAGAATTTATTTGATGAAGGGTTATATTACATTCAATAACAAAAATTATAAACATACAAAGTATCCAGACATATTTAAAAGCTCAAACTAATAATTTTTTATATAACAGATCGAGTTAAAAAAATGTATTATATGTATGCATTATTGCTGTTCAAAATTTCAAATAATATATATAATTGTACTATTAAATTCACCTTGGAAATAATATATTATACAATGTATATATAATTTTATATCAATATTAATATGAAATTTTTTTTAATTTGGTTATATAATAGTTAATTTAAATTTAGCTTTATTGAAAGAATATTAATTTAATTTGATAAAATATTGAGATCTTTAATTTTAATTTATATTTATATTATAAACAAATTTTTGAAGTTAGTTAAATTATCTTATTATAAAAATTACCGTTAATGCAAGCAATGAAAAATAACAGAACTATAAGCTATTTTATAGTTTTCACCTTAAAATCAAAATAATTATTGTAAATTTTTTAATTAAAAATAATTTTCATTCAATTTAAAATGTTAATATAATACTTAATATTTTCTATTAAATATTTTTAAATATGAATTATAGTGAAATACGACTCCAAAAAAATAGCATAAAAATATTTTTTATATGTTGTTGCTTTATTAAATAAAATAGAAGGAATTGTTCTAATATTTTATGATACAAGACTGGAATTTATTTTCGTATTACTTAATAGCAGAACATGGTATATTATATTTACTTTAATGATAGAATTAGCATTAATAATATTTATTTTAAATTAAAATAATCATGTTAATAATTCTCATAATTGATTGGTAATAGTTTTTATATAAAAATTAAAACATTTTTGGATAAGTTCGTAAAAATATAATAAAGTGATAATTTCATTAATTTTTTAATTTATATTGAAAAAAAAACTTATTAATGCAATGCATAGTTCCACCCACGCTATTAATTAAAGTGCACACTAAAAATTTAATTGCATTATTTTACAAGTATATTTAAAATTTTGTTTAAATATTTTTGATTATTAAGTAATAGGAAAAGTAATCCAGTTTTAGTTTTGTTAATACTATCATTTTCTTTTTTAAGTGGTTATTAATGTATATTGCATTGATTAAGATTGGCAACTCAAAGTTAGTATTAAAATTTTATTAGTAAGAGAATTAATTTATATTTAATTTAATGTATATCGGACATAGGGGACTTCGACATCATTTCCATCTACATCATTACAGCATAGTTCAAAAACAAGAGCACGTACATGAGGTTCAAGTTTTTTTTTCGAAACTTTTTTTACTACTTCTGACATTGATAAGTTCATTCGTTCTTGACATTTTTGTTTAGCCATAAAAAATGAATAAAGCATGCAAACTCCTTGAGAGAGCATTGTAACTTCTAAATTATGCTTCTGTTTGAAATATTCTAGAAATTCTTTTAAATTCATTTCTCCCTGAACTTCAAACCTGTCCCATAAAGTCCATTCTTTATCATAATATTTTAATTTTGGCGCTGCTATAGGTTCAGAAAACCCAAAAAATGGTAGAGCAAGATTAATAAATCCATTTTTATATAAAGATAGATCTGTGAAACCTTGTGCTAATTTTACTAATTCAAAACATATTAAACCAGCTACAACACTAGTAGTCGTTGCTATAGCAGGAATAATTTTCCCAGCAATTAATTTACTTTTATGTCTGTCAGCTGCTTGAATTCTATAATTCGCAGCTCTAAGATTTGAAGCAGCTACTATAAAATCTATATGGAAGTTCTTGTCATCATCTTTCTCAAATTCTTGTGGATTAATACTAAGACCTATAAATTAATAATTTACTAAATTAGTAATTAATGAAAAATTACAATACAAAAAATGTTATTATTAACTTATAACATTTTCTAATACAGGATATATATTACATTTATTCGGTAAGTAGAAAAAAAATATAAAAAAACGATTGGATTAATTTCTTATTTATATAAATTTTCAATTTATTATAATCAGAAAACAGAAATCGAAATAATAAAGTTAATAGATGAATTATTTTCATTATATTTAAAAATGTACATTAGCTGTGGAGTATTTAAAGCCTAATAATGCACTTCAAATACGTTGAACATTTATATAAGTACTTTATTAAAAATAACTTTTAGAAAATCAGTTTCATACTTATATTTAGAGTTTTGTTTTATTCAAGTTGCCGTTGGCATTTTCTATCGATGCAGATGAAGAAATTACATGCTTTTAAATATATAATACTTATATTATTAATAAATCTTATAATCAAAAGATGGCTGTTTATTAATCATTAAAATTTATTAATGGCTTCAACTAATATTTTCAATTCGCATGTCATTTTATAATTCTATTATTTTCAATACTTATTGATTGATAAATCTATAATTGATTATCTTGATTCTATATTGAGTGCACATTTTTTAATTTAATTTCTATGTTTAAGGTTTGTTGTTTACCTTACTTTAACTTCACATTTCATCACACCCGTTGTTTCTATTTTTTATTAAAATGTTTATATTTACGTGATTCCTCACATATAATAAATATAAACAATATAATAATATTATGTACATATTACCGTATTATTTTCTTATGAATTGTACAATATTTATTACAATATAGAATTTTTATTAATATTTAACAAAAAAGTTTTAAAAAATAACGGTGCCAAATTTCATAATCAATTAAATGCATTGTAATATTACTATAAAAATTTTAAATATTAATTTCTTATATTCAAAATTGTAATTAAAAATATTAAATCCAATATAAAATATACTATTTATACATTTCATATTATGTTAGGGTTCTTATACTCAGAAACAATTATAAATTAAAAAGTTACAGCAAAAACATATTTGGAATCTTAGAACCACGATTAGCTTGTTATGACTCCTTATTTATATTCCTATTTATTTTCCTAGTATCTAAAATTTAAATTATATTTTTAATTAATAAAAAATAATATTCAAAGAACAAAATTTATAATCGTTAAAATATTATAAATAAATAAAGATTTTACTTAATTATTTTGTTTGTTTTTCCTTCTTTATCCTTTTTATTTCAATTTATTTTATCAAATTTTACTTTTCGAATATATTCGTTATATTAATAAAATTCCTGTCGGTCTTACATTTTTAAATAATATTACATACGATTTTATTGTTTTTGAAAGATTTCTTTTAATGTTTCTATATATTTTTTTGAGTATTTTTCAGGATTTTTGTGTTTCTTTTTTATCTAATTTCCATTTTTATATTTCTTTAATTTTTACTTATCATTTTAATTTTAATTTTTTTAATTTTTAATAAATAATTTTTACTTTTTCAAATACCGATATTTCTTTTTTCTTATTATGAGAAAATATTGTTAAATATTTTTACATTCCACATAATTATGTTTGAATTCAATAGCATAATATGTTACGCAAATTGTCTTAATGTAAAATCGATCATATGACTATTGTAATTTGATTATTTTGTATTTTCTAAAATATGCCTTACATTAAATTAAATTGTTGCTGATTGTAAATGATACCACAAACTATTTGGCTATTTACACAATTATAAATCTGTATTATAAGTAAAAATAACCAAATAAGCATTATTTTAAAAATCTTTATTCAAATATATATATAGTAATAAGATCAAATATACATTTAATAACTTTATAAATCTTTTTAAATTTGCTTAATTAATTGAAGAATTTTTTGCAATGAAACGAATTAAGGTTTCAGTAACTTAATTTTTAAGATTTATAGTTTTATTTCAAGTAGATAATGCTGTAATCTTTTGTTGATTAAATTTTTACAATAAATATTATCTTAATTTGTATCTAATTTGTCAAGAATTAAAATTCCTTATAATTAATATCCTTCTATATTAATGGTATAAAAAACACGTTATTTTTTAATAGTTTTGATGTATATTTATTTATACTTGATACTCATTAAAATTTATATATTTCACTTGCTATGTCACATTTACATATAGCATTGTAATATCTACTTCGACAATGATAAGATTGTCTTCATTTTTGTTTTATTTTACTACTAAGATGTATTAAAATTATTATATGAAATACAATGTATTTATATTTATATGTTTCTATTTATTTTTAAAAGTCAATAAGTCATAGAATGAGATATTTGAACCAAATTATCTAACAAAATATAACGTACAACTAGTGTAAGCTTAAAACGTTAAAAGAAATATAAAATATACAAATCTTTTCAGTAATGGTAATTGTTGTAAAGTTATACTAGTTACTTAATTATAAAAACATATATTCATGGATTTGATGATAAATTCATATATTCTACATAATGAATAGGATAGTGTCAGAATCATAAAAAAATTTGTACTGATGAATTATTACTGATAAAAATCTTTTCAATTTATTAATGATGTCTTTATTGTATAATAAACCATGTGAAAAAAAATTTGTAATAAGCCAAATTAGAAGATTGTTATTGAGATTACTATATATATATATATATATATATATATATATGATAACAATTAAAAATTGAATTATAAAACGAAGAACAGAAATAAAAATGTGTAAAAATAAAAAAGATCAATTTTTAATAATTTATACAATATCTGAAATTTTAAATATTTAAAATATAAAATTTACAAAAAAAATTAAAGAAAAACAATTGTTAAGTAAAAGCTGTGTTCTATGCATTTGATTATTAAAAAATCTGAAATTCCTTCAATACTTAATACAATTTAACAAAACCACAATTCTTTATAAAGTAATTCTAACTAAAGATAAAATTGAACTCAATAGTAAGTTACTTCAAAACTTAACACAGCTAGATATTATTGTTATTAAAAATGTTGCATTAAATATATACTAATATTATAAAATTAACATATATAATTATAATTATTAAGAGTATATACAATATATAGGTATATTTCATTTTAATAACAATTTTAACATTATGATCTTCAACTATACATAACTATAGTGTTAAGCCTCATGGTATGTAAAAGAACTTAAAATTTGAAAAGCAAAATAAAATAATTTAATAATAAAAATCAAAGATTTATATTTATGGAGCAGTTATCTACAGTAAGTTATTAAGAAGCAGAATGATTTTGTGCATGCATATGCTTATATCCTGTTAGCCGTTTTTATTACAACAGGATACATATACAGATTATTGTTGTAGTAGTTAGTTAAAATTCCTATTTTTTTTTAAACCTTTACAAGTTTTGTTTTTCAAATTTTCTGTTGATTATGAGCATGTATTATAGTATTGTTATGAGACAATTTATATATTTAAATTTTATTTCTTTTTTTTGTTATTATAGTTTTTTATTTTCTTCTAATATCTGATTATTATTATTTACAATTATCTAGATAGATTAATTTTCTATAAGCATGGTGAGTTTAATGTTTATTCACTTCGTTTCTATATTATAAATTCACTGTAGCTTTAATATTTGTAACATTGCAGCATTTTATCAACATTTGAAGAAAACAAAGATTTTTGTTTGCAAAGAACAGTTTTTTTATTTAGACATGTTTCAACAATATGTTTTTTATATTTTAAATTAATGTGTTAAATAAAATTTTTCTTTATTTTGCTCTTCACATACATGTTCTGTTTACAAATTATTTTGCTATTAGTGTTAACATTTTTTTACGTACAGCAAATGTAAAAGAAAATATTAGTTTAAATAAGTAAACACAATTTGTTAGTGAATAAATTGGCTTGAATTCTGTTCATAATTTTTAATTAATAGCTAATTTTAAAATATATATGTATATGTGTAAAAATATAATTGATTACGCTATTATCAAAAATTTCTAATTTCTAATTTCTAATTTTTGATAATAAATTTTTCATTATTTACATATTACTTAATTAATAATACAGTTTTTTTTTATTTTAGATTTTATAAATAAATTTTTAAGTGAGAAAGTTTATATATACATAAAATTTTATGTTATATTTTGTATTGAAAATCATGACATTAACTTTTTTTTTTAATTACCATGTCTATTTTACCATAAAATAATTCTATATAATCTACATTACGTTATGATAGTCATTTAAAAAATATATTGAACTTTTGTAAAATGTGCCGAATTTCTTAGTCTTTGTTTTTATTTTACAAAGTATGAAAAGTACTATAGAAGAAATTCGAAGTATGTTTATTTAATTATTTACACCTACCTCATAAAATGAGTATGATTCACAATTTCATAACACGTGCATTCATATAAAATAAATAATGTATTGTAAAAACATTTGTAATTCATTTGTAAATATTGTAATACCTTTCAATTCTTCTACTTTTGGTAGATCAGCCTGGAGTTGACTTAATCGTTCATGATCAATATTTCCATTTCCATTTGAAACTTGAACTTGGGAATCTGTTTCAGCTATTTTAACACCTGATTTTGGAGTAAACTCTGGTACTTCAACAACAGATATAATTTTAATGATTTCTTCACGATTTTTATTAACAGGTACTCCATACACAGCTGATTTTAAATTAGCTGCAGCAATAATATAATCCATATGGAGTGCATTATTTATGTCAAAATCTAAGGGAATTGGACAACGCTTTGGTCCAGACCAAAATGGTTGACCACTTGATGTTATTTGCTCAGGTGGAAAATTAAACAAAAGTTGTCTTATTTGATTATTATATTGATCTTGCCAATGACATCGAGCCCACACAAGACATTCTTCAAATGTCTTAGGCCTTTCATCTACCAAAGCTGTTTTAACTGATTCTAAAACTTCTAATGGTTGTACTCCTGGTAATTTTAGAGTTCTTTCAATAAAATGCGGATCACTGATATATTGAGCAGCATTTTCAGCACACTGTTTAAATAGTCCTTCAAAAGTATCTCTAGCCCATTGAAGAGTATGTTCTATAGCATTTGGAAAATTTTTTAAAGTACATATAGGTATACTTTTTTCAGGTGGATCTTGCGAAGAACTATAAGATTCGGTTAAAAATGGTACCACTACTTGAGTATTTCCCTTAGTTCCTAAAGTACCAGATTCAAGAAGTGGTTTGCGGTAATAGACACAACGACGATCTACATAAATTCGTGCATCAACATTATCGAGTGCATTTGCTACTCCATCTAAAGATTTAAAAAAGTCATCATTATAGATCTTTTCTGTTTCTGGACCAACGCGATTTTCGTGAGCACATATTTTAATTTCAGAATTCATTTTCTTTATAGCTCTAGCTGCTGTTGAAGATTTCGATTTTTGAACATCAGAAGGTCTAAATAGAAACTGCCGATTAAGATTTGATTTTTCTATAAAATCCATATCAGTAACTGTAATACATCCATCTTTTGCTGCAATTCCAAGCATGGCAAAATTTTTAAGTAGTTCACATCCAATAGCACCAGCCCCAACTATAAAATACTTTAAATTTGCCAATTTACTTTGAAACTCTGTCCCAAATATAGAAATTAAACAGTCATAACGAGATCCAATCGGTTGATAATTTTCTTCATTAATTGCAGAATTATTTTTTGGTAAACATTCAACAGCGTCAAAATATAACCATTGATATATTGGATGAAATTTTCCTGAACAAGCTTTCATAACTTCTTGAGCAATAATACCTCCTACAACTGCATTCATTGGACTAAACTGACCACTAGATGTTTTACAAAACAAAGAGAGAAGTTCTTCTTGTAAGCCAAAATTAAAATTATATTTGTCATGTATAATGTTTGCTAATTGTAAAAATTCCTGAAAATCATTATCATTCCAAGCTCTAGGTAATTGGTTATTCTTTTCAACAAAATGATGTAAAGTAAGGAAAGCCAAGTGTAATTGTTGTGGATACTCAAATTTTCCATAATCAGAGATGACAATTTCTGGATGTGTAAGTGCTTCATCAAATGCGTGAAATTTTAATGTTTTTGGAATTTTTACTTGAGTTACTATACCTCCTTGAGTATATTCAGAATAAGTTGATGTATCTCCGATACTAAATGTGTAAGGTCCGAGAACTTTAATTTTACTTGGTGGACGGCCATTCAATTCAATCATACCTTGTATTTCAGAAAATGTTACATAATCACCATCTTCCATTCCATGACGTGTATCATCAAGACATGTCACAATACCTTGATTATCTCGTGAAATACTGGCTATCATAGCATTAACAGGTGATTCCCCAGTTGTATCAATTACTGAAAAGTTATCTCCAAAATCACAAAATATTTGAGAAAAGAGGCCTCTTGTATCTCCAATGATAAGGGCAATATTATTTTTTCGAGTGATTTCAGCAATGCGTAGTTGTTCTTTTAACGATGTTTCAGTAATAACAATGACACTAAATTTCTTTAAAAATTCATCTGTTAATACCCCAGAATAATATTTTGTTGGTACATAATTATTTAATTCTGATAACCGTTGATAACATGCTTTAGCACGATTTTTTCCTATAATAAAAGTAAATTATTTATTAAAATTTATTAAAATTATATTCATTTATTAAAATCAATTTATATTTGAAGAAAAATATATGAAAAAATATACTTTTTGAAATAAATAGATTATATATGATCATTATTCTTTATTTTTTAATAAAAAATTTATAGATTCTAAGTAAATCTAAATAGAAACAAATTGTGTACAATTTTAAGATTTATTTTTATTTTGTAAATATTTATGAGCTTTACGTGAATATTAAAAATATTGATAAAATTTTTTATACTTGGCAACAAATGTAGGTTTGTTAAAAATTCACTCATTATCAATTAAAAGTATTAAGTATTAAATTAAATTAAAAATATATACTTTTAAAAACAATTAAAAAAATATACTTGATTATATCTTATAAATAGTAGTTTGTGTAATGATCTAGTTTACATATTCATATTTATAATACTTTTTTAATATGATTGAGAAGAAAATTGTTTTTTGGACAGTATATAAAAAATATAATATCTTATTGATTAATTTTTAACAAATCTATTTTATCCTTTTCTAAATATTGCATTAATATATTCTTATTTGTTAAATAGCTTTAATGAAATTGATAAACTTAAAAAAGTTTTTAAAAACATGATACGATATGATTATTGTCGATACCACAAAATTTTGTATTATTTTTAAACAATTAATAAAAATAAAAGTTCTGCAAATACAAAAATATATTATTTATATATAAATATTATATTAAAATTGGTATAAAAAATTATATAAGCAATAAATTAATTTTTTGGTTGTTAGAAGTAATTTAAATCTTACCAATATCATCTTTACTCAAGTAAAATTGGGATCCTAAATCATTTACTTGACAAATAACATTATCATGTAAAGTAACTGATTTTACTCCACCAAGTATGACATTTTTAGATATCTCAACACCTAATCCACCAAGCCCTGAAATAAGAACATCTGAACTTGCCATACGACGCATAGCATCATGGCCCAGAACATATAACTGACGCGAATAAAGTCCCTCATCAATGTCTGAATTAACTTGATTAGTTTTGGAACCATTCTTTGCCATGCCTGCGATATTTAAGAGGTTTTCAACACCTCCTGCCGTATTGGCAATACGTCGTTTTTTATTTGGGGGATCAATAGAACTCTCCGCCACTTCAGCACTAGACATCGGACTTTACAAGATCCGTAATAATGTACTTGGGACTGCTTATTTAAAATTATACCTCAAGATGAATATGTAATAATTTTTATATAAGTGATAAAATTTTATTATAATTGTATCAATTTTTCTTTTAGCCTGAAATGAAATTTAATCATTATATTAATATAAATCTATTTATATTTCAAATAAATAAGTAATAAATTAAAATAAATATATGATGAATTCACAATCATTAATATTTAAAAAATATTTAGTTGATTTATATTTTATACTTACGTATATAAGTATAAATAAAATTTGTTCAGTATTTACTTAAAATTATATAAATTATATAAATTTGTATAATAAATTCACCAATGAAATTTATATTCTTAAATCTCTTCAATCAACTATTTTCGTGAACAAGATTAGAAGAACAAGTTCAATTCCGAATTACTTTTTTTTACACGATTCTAAATCTACTACTGTATAAAAAAAAATGTAATTTCCGTCGTCGTTTTCCGAATATTACAATACTAATATTAATTTTCAATTAAATACAAAATAGTATTATGTATACCATAAAATGAATAATTTTATAATTTATTTGCATTTATTTTTGTTTTCATGAAAAGTTAAAAAGAAAATGAAAATCTGAAATTATGTTTAAAAATTTAATTGCAAATTTTATTGTAAAAATTTTATATATTAGATTATTTGCGCTTATTACGAGCATATGGTATATACAAACATAATATATTCAAATATACGGATTAATAAATAACTTTTTTTAATAATATACTTAAACTAGTTTTTAAATATCTTACATCAGCTAATTATTTATTATATTTATTGAGATACATGAATTGAATTTTAGAAAGTATTCGTTTATTATTTTTCAATATCGCCTTTTAAACATTTTAAAATATTTTTCAGTATAATCTTTCAAATTTTCATTGTTAAAATGACATGATTACGGAAAAATAGTACTAATATCTTAATTTATCAAACCTTTAGTTTTTGGTAATCTCGAATTATTGTCAAAAACTATTGTTTTATGAATATTGTATAATAAATTGTTTTAATTCAATTAATTAGTAAATATATTTATATAAGTTGTCGCGGGCAATGTGAACTTAATTAGACGTATGCAACAACTTGAGAATGCGCTGAAATGTTTATGAACAAGTTGCGCAATCAGCAGTAGAACATTGAACGTGTAACTTGAACGAAAAGCAAACCTATAGCAAAACAGTTCTTTCAGCAAGTGAGAAAATATGAACAATGGAGTAGGATTTTCAAAACGACGTAGAAGATAAGCAAAAGAAGAACGAAATATTCTAGATTTCGATTCCTTAAAAATTAGAATAATCGTGTTGTTGGATTAAAATCAAGGACGATACCAATAATTACACGTTTGAAAGAATACCTTTCAGATTTATATATAATTTTATGTATTATAATGGTGTATTCTAATTTTAGCTAATTCTTCACTCGATTATTCAAAATATATGAATTATGTATTTTATTAATAATATTATTTATACGCTTTAAATATTTAATAAATTTTAATTAATTTTAGGTTACATGTGCTAAATTAAATATTTCATTATTATTTAAAAAAATTCACCTTGTACTTGGACCATATACATTTGATATATTTCTCTGTAGATTCAATGTAATATAGTATATATTATGTAATATAATCATTTTCTATTTTTTAATTATTTATATCAGTAATATTATAACTAATTTAATCGTTGAAAAATCTTTAATTTTATCTATAAGTTATAACTTCTATTATAAAATGATTACATATTTTTTTAAATTAATATCTACCAATGATAGAGTTTATTGACTAAATTTGACATTTTTATTGAAAAGATGGAAAATACATAACATACAATTATATTAAAATTTTTGAAAATGATTATAGTAATAAAGTTCGCTTAAATACGGTTAATTAAGTCCTTAAACGTAGATATATTCTTATTATTCATATTTTCATACAATTCGATAATAGTTATAACGGAATAAAAAAATCTCAATGAAATCAGTATTTCACTGCGATTTGATACAGTAGTTAGAACGGGAAAAAATAATTCAATATGCATTTTATAGTTTATTCAAGTTATTCGAGTATAAGATGCATAATTATGTCGATGAACTATACTGTACATTGCTCTTTTGAATACTAATGGAGTTGTTAGAGCTGTTGATACTATTACAACAAAATTAAATAAAAAACATCAGTAATTTCTGCGGTATAAACATTACTTTGTGTTTATAGATTTAATTTTTCAATATATTTTTAATTTCTGTTATACTCAACATATTTTAGGCTTTACTGTAAATTTATTTAGAAAATGACTCTAATATATTATATTTGATTTTATCCTTATGAATTTTTATTAATTTTTTATAAAGTATACTGTCTTATTAATTAATAATTAATGCCATTTACATTGTCTATTATCTAAGTTTACATTATTTGACGACTTTTTTAATTATATATATCTGTATAATTTTATTATATTAGAAAATATAATATTAATATATAGTCTAAATTGTATTATATAGAAGACTGTTTAATATCTTATATCTCATTCGAAAATAATGAGCTTGTTGATTAAGCAAAACCATTGAAGATAACATATCGTTTAATTTCAATGTAATAGCATAATGTAACAGCTGAACTCCTGGTACTGGCTTATATAAATTTAAATAATTTTCTTAAAAATAAAACTTTTTGAGAATTACTTCTGTATTTTTGTTTTAATATATAGTTGTAATTTTGTATCTTCTATTTCTCTTTATTAGCTATAAAATGGCTATTAATATTACGTTCAATTATTATTTTGAAATGTTTCTTACAACCAATTTTATAACGAGTAAATTTCGATTTTACTATAGTAGTAGTGTCCAATGTTTCAAAATTGTTTGAAATTATTTTCTAAATTTTTATATTTAATTAGAATTATTATTGTTTTCTTCATTTTAATTGATTTTAAGAGAAAAATATTACTGGCGATAATTCATTTTAGAAATAAATCATTTTTATAGTGACAGGTAAACATCATTTAAGCTTAAATTAAAAATTAAAAATTTATTTTAGTTTAAATTCAAATTTCATAAAAAAATCTGTCCTTAGTAATAAATGAATTGCTAACGAATAATTATATTCAGAGTAGACTAATTAATTTCTCATTAAAACTCATTCATTACATACATTGTTCATGATAAAAATTTTTAACAAGTTACTTTATTTATAGAATTCTTACATTTATAGTTAATTTATTACTTTGTGCAATTTTTAAAAATATGTTGATATTTAACTTTATAAAAAATCTAATCATTAAGATAGAATTGCAACTGTACGGCTGCAAACTGAATCTAATAGTATATAAATATTGAATTCTTTTTCATTCTATTGTATAAAATAATTGGATTGTATTTCCGTTTCCTTTTGCCTATAAATAATAAAAATATAATTTTAAATTGTAAACTTTTTAAAGAATTCTTATAATCAATAGATTTGCAATAATTTATCACTAAAATATAAAATGAATTTAAATAATAGTAACTATTTTTAAAAATAATGACGTTTTCGTTTACTTTTACATTTGCTAATATAATTTATAATGTAATAAATAAATAATGAAAGCATTTTAGTATGATTTTTAGTGATTCTTTAGGAGCTTAAGCGATGATAAATCGTTTAATAATTTATTAAACAAATTTCATGTAAATACAAATATTTATGTTTATCTTTACAAAAGTTTAATCATTTGACTAAAGATGTTTTTTTCAATAATTTCTAATTTAAGTAATAAAGTTCTTAAAGTCACCTGATTTTTTTAATATTATTTTCTTCCTGATAAATTGTGTTTCAATTCTGACTAATCAATAGATTTATAATAATTGCATGGTATTTTTAAAATCTCTATATTCTATTAATATTAACACAAAGTTAAGTGAATGCAAGAATAATGTTAAAAATTAAGAAAACTAGTTAGTGATTAAGATGTACTATGATGTTTTGAAATTGAGAATCTTACATTATTTTCACACAAATAATTGCTTTAGCGAATGAGTAAAATGCTATGATTACTCTCAATTTAAATTATTAATTGAATTAAAATAACAAGAGTAAATTATAAGTATATAAAATTTATGTTATGACACTAAGTTAAAGTTTTAAAACCAAATTTAAGTATATTATAATTTATAATTTTTTTATTATCTTTTTAAATATATTTTTCTTAAATTTCATGAATTAGTTAAGATAATAAAATTCTCAAATAACATTATCTGTTTAATCAATTGTGTTATTAATATAATTTGTCTTGAATGATCAATGTATGAATATTAGGTAAATAATCAATCAACACAAAAATTTTATATTAAATCTCTTTTTAATTTAACAAATTATTAATAACTTAGAAATCGAATTGCAATTTCTTAATGAAGTATTTTAATAAAAAAACATTACAATATATTTGAACATTGTCGAGTCATCAATTTCTTAAAATTTGTACCATGTTCTTAAAATTCGTACTCAATGTGTCTTTAATTTAACAAAATTTGTAAAATTCACTTTCAATATAAAGAAATGTGTAACTCATCGAACAGTTACATTTTTCTTCTTCTTGAGAACACTTATTGTAAAAATTATTATTTAAGTTAATTATTTTAATTTATCTTGCGTAATATTAATACAAGTGAGGTAAGATAATTTTCTAAGAGTTATTTTTTTTTTGTAATCATATATGTATATTGTCGAAATAATGTAACAAAATATAGTCTATAATGTATTTAATTTCTTTGTCTATGGACATAAATAAATGATTTCACAAAGAAACTATAAACTTTATGAATAAATATGATTTATGTTATAAAGTGAATTAATAATAGAGAAAATAAGATGATACATGGATATCTTTGTTGCGATATGATTATGAATCTAATAATTAATCAATAAAGTGTCAATAAAATATGCAAATATATAAAGAAAATTTTTTTATGTTTTATCTGTATCTATAAAATTATCTTAAGTTTAATTGCATAAGCAGTAGGTATTTTATTTTCTTTAAAAAATAGCCTAAATTTTTCTTGAATTTCTTCTGATCT